TGCTGATACTTTCATTATTCTCCCTGAGAGCATCATTACCATGATACAAGCTGCTGTCCGTCAAAACATCCTCCATCGCCTCTCTATGGAAGCTCGCCGAGGGTGGAACAGGAAGGAAACTAAAGACCATATTTACAATTTGCAGCATACATCATGCGCAGTATACCTTCGCCTGACGCGTCTGTCACAACCAGCTGACTCCGACTGCAGAACGCACGAGTTAGTGCAACGAGAACAACTCGAGCAGGGAGATGCTTCACACTGACCCTGAGGTGAGGCGACTGCGTCAGAGCGTGTACACGTCTACCTCTGTGGGGTTTTTCTTCTCGTGTCTCCACCACTTCACAATAAGACCACCCTTATAAAGTATTTATAAATGGTTTATAATTGGGTTATTAATTCAGCTGTTAACACTTTATAAATCATGAACAAGTTATACCACAGTTTTCATACATCGATGCAGGCTCACTATTTGGCAAGATCAAATTAATGCTTACTACTCATTAATCTTACTAATGAGCTATTACCATTTATAACTGGTAAACAGAAGTAACTCATTAATTAATTAATGGTGTTGTGTTTTACACTTTACACCTTTTATCAGTTACAAATGTTTGTAACTGATGAATCTGTTCATTTGATTTGATCATTTGATATCATTTCATCTGCCGAATGAAACGTTTTGACCATTAAGATGCTGACGGTGGTTAATTGCTGGTAACTTAATGAATATGAGATGAAGCAGCAGCTACAAACGCTGAACGATGCAGAGAACAAAGAGATATGGGGCTCAACAGTACAGATACATGTGGGCTCACTATTTGGCAAGCAACAGGTGTGTGTTTCCCTTTTTATCCAATGTGTTATAACTGCTTATAAATGAATTATAAAGTCTTAACAAGCTAAGTGATGAACTAGTTATAAACCATTCATAAATCCTCTGTAAGAGTCTTATTCTAAAGTGGTTGCATAGCAACAAAGTCAACATGGTTAACATTACATGTGCTAAAGGTTAGCATGTTAGCAGTGTCATCATGAGCATGCTAGCATAGAAGAAAACAAACTGGTGTGGTGTGATTATAGTTTCTAATCTGTGCATGTCCATTAAATCCAACGTTGTGATGAACATATGTTTACGTTTGTGTAATTCTACTCCCTCTCACCTCCAGCCCTTACTGTGTGTATCTCTTCACCTCCTCCTACTGTCTTCAGTCAAAATCTTAATGTGCCTGCTCCATCAGCTCCTCTCTTTGTTCCTCTCCTCCACAAGCAGCTGCTCCAGTGCAGTGCAAGCTGAAGATAAGAGTCCACACGCTCACACACAGACTCACACACAGACTCACACACACACACACACTTCATTCCCTCAGTGTTGATCAACCTAACACCACACTGCTCAGATGCTGTATTTTATGTGTGCGTTTTGTGTTCTTGGCACTTCTGTAATTACCTTTAGAGTGAAAATATCAAAAATACCGCAGGCCTTTGTGTCCTACGGCAAAATCCCACATAGGATCAACAAAGGAGTCTAGGGGTCCTGCTCCCCTCTCAGACAGTCATCCAGACCAAAATGAGAAGGGATTTGGGGATGAAAGCTGCTCCTGCATATTTTACAATCTGTTCTGCAACCATCTGCTGCCTGACACACTCACATATGCACACACACACATATGCGCACACACACGTACACACACACTTACACACAAGAGAACAATCCAGCACAGTCAAGTCTACCTTCAAGGAATGTGCCCCTGTTTAACACACATTGCACCTGGTAGTATACTGTGTGTGCAAACACAGACGTAACCGCAAGCAGAGTTGGTGAAATGGTCGTCATTATGTTGCACACCTCTCAGCAAATCTTAACCAGACTGCCATGGAAACCAGTCAGATTGGTCAGACAAGCCCTAGAACACCTTTATGCCAAACAAGAGCCAACTGCTCTTAACAAACTTGTACTGCTGTAACCTTTGTACACGGTGCAGCTGCAGAAAATCAGCCAGTAGGTCGAGATAAATTTATGCAGTTTTGCAAGGGCTTTAATTCTATTTGAGATCATGATTTAATAATGGTATCTCCTGATGCACATCTGAGAAACTAGGAATAGATTGTTTTCCGCCAAGGAAACGATTTAAAGCGTCTTTAAGATGAAACAAGCCATTTGAAACCTGAGCTGTGAAGACTGCAGCAAGAAAAACTAGATACTCTGTTAGCAGAGTTTGCTGCTGTTTAATTTACATTCACATAATTTGGTGCTGGAGGTTTTTCATTAAGCTTTTAAGTCCACACAGACTCGATGGGGAAAGAGGGAATGTTCCTGACTGAATTTCTTTGGTCGGATGCCCTTTAATGGAAACCAGTGACCTTTAATAGAGGACGTCATCAGCAACAGAAAGAGGCTGTTCATCCAAGATGACACCCCTTGTAGAATTAGTCAAACTCAATTTCAAGCTGAAATTACAAGGCACAATGAGAGCGAGAGAGACAGATCATGTTAGTCAAGTCTTAGGGATAATCAGAGTTATCAGAACTTGAGCTTAACTATTACAGCTTTGGCCATCATTCCTATTGCTATTGTGACATTGTACTCAGCAAGTTAAATGTTGAGCTCTGGGATATTGATAAAAAGACGTTTGACAGGAAACAATCATTGGGAGCCAGAGAATCCTACACAGTGGTTTCAAGTTTGACACTCGCAACCTACCATTTATTTATATTTTTCTATATATATATTTTTTTTTACGTTTTTCTCGTAAATATTTTATCTTATTATTCAATTTTTCTATTTATATTTAAGCGATTTGACCTGTAGTACTTGCTTGTTTCATCTTTCCTGTGTTTGTTTAAACCAGATTCTACTTCTGATTCTGAAAGTAGTAGGACTCGAATCCTTTACCTGAACGCAGGTATTAACATTTGTTGCCCCTCAGTACCTCCCCCTGTCTCAACCCCGTCTCCATCTCAGTTTCCCTAGCCAACCCAACTATATCAAAGTCTTCTTCTCTTGCGGCGGTGGCGCAGCGGTGCAGTGCTGTGGACAGTGGATGGATCGCAGACGGTGTGGGAGAGCTGTGAAAGACAAAGCCACGACAGAGAAAACAGGTAACAGCATGTCCAGCGGACTGAGTGCTGATGGGAGAGAGGCAGGGGGGCGGGGACGCAGGATGGGGCCCTACCTCCCGTGATCATTGAACTTAGAACTCTAGCCACCACGGTGGGTGGTCGAGGTCGGTGGTGGTGGTGGGGTTTAAAGGGACACACAGAACATGCTAGAAACTCTGTACCTTTCAATGTGCCTTCAGAGAGGGCCCAACTCACCCCCGGAACCAATAAATCTAGAGGAATGAGACTGTGTTAGTCAGGGAGAAGCAGAAGAACGCAAAGGAAGGAAGGCTGAGAGTTACAGACAGGAGAGAGTCAAAGAGAAAGAAAAAGGGAAAGAGGGATGGAGTAAGGCCAGAAGGAAGCGATGAAAGATTAAAGCTGGTTTATGTTCCTGCGTTTTGTCTTTCCAGTGATTCTGAGTCCAGTTCTTTGGATCAACACCTGCAGTTTTTGTTTTGTAAAAAGGTCAAGAAGACGTTGGCTCTCAAAACCGAAGCGCAGACATTTAACAACCATCTTAAAAACTGTGTTCTGCTGAGTTACACGAGTAAGCTGTCTCTCTCTATGAGGAATCTTGACTATTTTGCTAATAAACCAACATCACCTTAAACAGCACCGTGTATAAAGAAGGTTTCCTGGCCAACCAAAAATCAGAGAACAACAAAACTAAAACAGGGAAATGAACTTAGATAATGTGGAAGGTCTTGTGTAATTTCAAGGAAAAAGGAAGGGGCCTCTTGAAGTATAAAGTGTAAATGTGTTAGAGTGTGCAAGGGTCTAGGGGAGTTTCTGGGTTGGTCAGATACCCTTGTCAGACGCCTCCTGAAAAAGGAGGATCAATTTCCATCTGTATTTCTCAAGAGCTGGACAGAAACATTCCGGTTATTGAATAAAATTATCATATAGAAGGAAATCAAAGGGAGTTTTTTCTTTCAGCTTTAAGAAACTAATAGTCCACTGCTCCTCGTACAAATATAAAAAAAGAAAGTGCCTTTTGAATAAGTGGGTAAAAGTACTGTAAGTGTAGGCACCAAATTCTCAAGAAGATTAATGCTAGCAGATGCTAGCGCTTGTGTTTTTGGGTGTAGGAGGCAGTGGAAAGAATAAAAAAACCAAACCAAGCAGTTTGTCACCAACTCCTATACAGCCGGAGGGGACAGGGGGACAGGCAGGGAATTAGTTCTGACTCAACAAATCTCACCCAAAGTAATGTCGGATCTTAGCTACAGGAAAACTACGGGGGGAAACTCTTCCTCATTTCCTTGCAGATTTAGGTCTATCCCTGCCCCTGCGGCTGTACTAAACCACATGCAGAAGAGGGGAAGGGAGGGGGGTCATCTCCGTTTTTGATCAGGGTGATTAAATGCTCAACAACTCCCCCTCCCTCTAGCTCTGTATACCCACAAGCCCCGTCTGTCAGCACTCACTGGGCATGCTCCAAGGGGACATCCCAAGCACGGTGTCTATGGTAGACCAGGCAAGGTAAGGGAGGAGGGAAAGGAAGGGTGGGGGGTGGGGGGGGGGCTAACACCAACGGTCAGCTGTCTTAGCTCTGCAAACCTACCAATTATGGAAGCTTTTCTTAACCTCTAACCGGATCAATTTTCTGCTGGAGTCGAAGAAGAGCTTCAACAGTCTGTAGCAGAGTCTGCAGAGCCAAAGTAGGTGACCACCGGACTGTAACAAAAACTAGCCGGAGGGTAAGAAAAAGAGGATGGTCGGGGTGGGGTGGGGGGGGGTTCTACTGCAGAGTAGCGACTTCTGTTGGCTGTTGCTAGCTCACTAATTGCGTTGTTCTAGATTCGGCAAAACCAAACCAATAAGCAAAAAATAAATAAAAAAAGGCTCAGGCTCAAATCAAGCAGGACTCAGAAAGATGTGGAAAGACTACCGACCAGCCAGCTCCTTCTCCTTACTCCGTCTCTTTTTCTCCTTGCGTTTCAATCTCTTCGCCTCCCTGCGCTTGGCCTCCTCGGCCTCCTGGTGGCGCCGGCACTTGTGGAAGTTCTCCACCACCACGCCCACGAACATGTTGAGCACGAAGAAGGCCACAATCAGCAAGAAAGAGATGAAGTAAAGCAGCATCCATGGGTTGTAGTTCAATTCTGGCTGAAACACAGGAACAGAGGATTTTTATAGATACTCAGAGAACTTCTTTCACCGGTTTTCTTCAGTGATCCGCTTCGACGTGAGCCCTGGACTTGTTTTACATCTGTGAGTTACCTGTTTGTCAACTCCTACAGCATCCAGTCCGTTGTACATAATGTCCACCCAGCCGTCTTTTGATGCCAGAACAAACAGAGACATCAACGCCTGAGACGGGAGGAAAAGAAGAATGGGCGAAATACGTCAACGCTAAAATGACACAGCCGTTAATCAGACCGTTAGTTTATGTATTTATTGATCAGAAGTCGTAGCATTTCTGATGCCGTACCTGTCCCAGGTTGTCAAAGTTGTATTTGTGTCGGACCCATTTGTAGTTGGCCTGCAAACAGTCGGACCTGTTGGTGATGTTCTTTATGTGATGTTCTACTCCTTGACAGAAGAAGAACTTCCCTTTGAAGAGCTGGGGAAAGAAAACACAAAGACGTGCTCTTTATTTTAGAATGAACCTCCACAGAACAGTTATTCTTAAAACAAAGATTTTTGAAGAGACACGTCAAAGACCAATATTAATTTTTACTTTACTTTATTATTAATAAAGGTTTGAGTTGGGGCATTTGCTGGGATTACAGCCAATAGTAGTCCTTGGGAACTAGAGTACGAAATACAGGAATGGCTACTACACTGCAGTGGGATCTATAGAAGAAGCCTTTTAAATCATTGCTCCATTGTATCGTCACAGCCATCAACCCCTTTATGACACTACTTTACTAGGATAGATGGTCTATGGACATCAACATGCTGATGGCAGATAGACAGGAGCATGAACAGCACCAAGGGTACAGAGCTCATTAGTATAGATTGGTCCTTGGGCCGTTAGCCATGAAAACGCCATTGCCACCAGATAATCATGTGTAAGTGTCCTGGCATGTGAGTTAGTGCTACCAAGATGTATGTACAACATTTGTCACATGTCAAACTGCTACAGCATTTGATCTCCTCCTTCTGGAGGCTCATTGTTTACATATGGGCGCCAACATTGTAGTTTTCATGTCAGAAAGCTGTAAGAGGTTTAGTTCAGGAGTTTGTTACTGTAAAAGAAGTAATAGATTTTGATTTAAATTTCTTTTCTTTTCACCCTCCTGGCAACATGTCGACCTTTGTTCTTGTTGACAGTATTCAAGTCTACGGTGCTCAATAAAACAGAAATAAATAAAAAATGTTATCTCAGTAAAAGTGTTGCTCTCACAGGTATTCCATGTGTGATCACCTTTGATGTTCTCATAAAATATGACCTCAATTTAATTTCTTGTGTCAATATTTTTGGGTGAGTAAACACTGTGCAAAGGTTTTGTAAAACAGTAAGACTCACATTTTTTAAATTAAAAAAAAAACACAGAACATCTCTGCAGTTCTCTTATTTGTTTTTGTATTTTCGTATGTGTTTCGTTTCTGAATTTGCAGACAATCGGACTTCACAACCTCTTCAAAGGTTGCCATCTTTGTACGTTCCTAACTGGTAGCTGGTGACCAGATGGGTTTTCTAGAATGCAGGTTTACTGCCTTTTTGCTTTCTCATCATTCCTGTTTGTACCCTCCCTCTCCTCACCCTCTCCTCACCCTCCGCTCTCACCTGTACTCCCAGTATGCCAAAGATAATGAAGAAGGCGCAGCAGATGACCACAATGTTGCCGATGGGCTTCAGTGACGACATCAGAGTTTCCACCACCAGCTTCAGCCCCGGAGCTCTGCTGATCACACTGGAACACAGCATATAATAGGATATTACCGCACTGTGTGTGTGTGTGTGTGTGTGTGTGTATGTTTGTGCAAGCGTACCAATCCACAACCTCCTCAGACACCCCCACCCCCCCTTCCTTCTTCTTGATTTCCCTTGTTTACCACAGTTGAAAACTCTTTTGTCATGTGCCCACATGTCGGAACCTTTCAAACTAAAACTCTTGCTGGCTCACAGACAAATTAACTTCTCTTTCACTCACTCCCCTCTATCACACCTCTTTCTGCTTCCTTTCGTTTCTGCAGTCAAGGAAACAGACACATCTAATTAAGCCAATGGACTGATTGGGATGTTTATTTAGTGCCAGCGTGGCACCCGGCACTCTATTGCACTGCAGCTGAGCTTCTCCAGTGGAAAAAAAACACAAACACGCACACTACATAAAATGCACAAACGCACTTACCTGCACAGGCGTTTTCTTACAGAAAACTCAGATATACATGCATGAGCACACACACACACACAGCACAGAAATGCAACATACACACACCAGAGTAAATATAATGACAGATAAGATGACAGGAGGCTGTTGAGGTAATCTGCTCTGCCTTTGTCTGTATTGCATGTTTTTCCCCTGAGCACACAGCTGAGCGAAGGGAGGAGTCAACAGCACGTTCACAGAGAACTAGAGATAATAAGGAGCCGGGACTGACCGAGGCCACTGATCAATAGCTCCGATCAGAGAATAATGAGCTTATGGCGACACCTCATCACTCAGCACCTCACTGCCTCTCTTGATATTGTATTGAAAGTCAGGTTGGGATGAAGTGTTGCTGCTGGCCTATAGAGGGTACTAGTGTTCAAGAGCTGCATCTGCTTGATTCTGCTGTTGAGATGTGAGCAGGAGTACGGCGACATGTTTGCACTGATTGGCATTTGTTGTAAGAGGTTTAAGTCGCAGTCGAAGCGTTTTTGTCATCTCTGTTCACACGTCTCTTCTCAGCAATTAGACGAAACAGCGGCGTCCGAGGGTCTGAAGTAGTCTCAGATGTTTGGACTCCACTGTGTCTCTTTAAAGTCAACAAGGAAACGCAAAACAGCTGAAGATGTGCAATAAAGGCTTATTGAATTAGTCTTGTCCAGTCAAATGATTAAATATGTATGATGTTTCAAAAGGTTTTAACATTCCTTTTTTAATTTAAATGAGTTGATCTAACTCAACCGTGTACGGAAGAGAATTAGGGCCGCATGTGAATTTTATTTAATTTATTCTGACTTGAATCTATTACTATTTATTACTAATCTATTACTTTAATCTTGTCTAATTGCCTAGAGGAGATGTGTGAACTCTTGTACAGACTTAAACTGTTGTCTGTCATATGTTGTCATGCTCCTGTTCATATCGCAAATTTATTTTTTTCTCAATTCTGACTTTAATCTCAGAATTATGAGAAAAAAGTCAGAATTCAAAATTCACATGTGGCTGTAATCCTCTTTGGTAACCGCTCATCCCGAGGGATGACCATTGGGAAAAGAAAAAAGGAAATCTAGTTTGACCAAAGACTACGAGGCATAAACATCATGAAAGAAAAGAAAAGTATTTTTTGAGGGGGGGGGGTTGGAAAACATGCAGAGGACAGAAGTGCATCGTTTCCTGCTGTTTTCCAGCGTTTCTGCTTTGCATATGAAAACTCCGAGCCAACCTCTCTACCTCTTTACATCATATTCTCCTTTTGAGCTGCACTCACTGACAAATACGCTAAAGTGACAAGGCTTATTAAAGAGGGGAACGAAGGAGAGATGAGCCTATTATTATGAGTCAATACACTCTGATGATGTGGTACGTGAAGGACGGCGCACTGCGACGGGCTCCTCTCCATAATATCTATTTGCATATGACACGAAAAGGAGGATGAGGAGGAGCTGGATGGAGCGAGCCAGAGGGAGAAAAGTTAGTTCTCGTTTCTTCTTCTAATCTACCTCTCCGCATAATTTCCCTGCAGTTGACAGCATGTCCTTGTTTTGTGTGATATACAAAGCGGGAAGGAGCGCGCCGCGCACACACACATGCACCATCCATCCCTCTCCTCCACCAGCATATCCCTCACACCGAGGAGAGGGAACAACAAGTAGGGCAATAAGTGGCGGGCGTGTTCCCACAGTGCAAACACTGGGTGTAATTAAGCGACGCTGGGAGATCGAAATAGGGAATAGAGGGAGGAGAGGACGGCTGGTGAGGTGGAGGGTGTATAGAGGGAATAAAAAATGAGGCAGCTGCTATATTGCTTTTTTTTTTTTGTCTAAACTTTGTTTCTCACTTCACCTTGTTGTATGAATTTCTTCCTGCTCTTCTCTTTTTCAACCTGCAGCTGTCATTCCTCTCCAGCTGTCACACTTTACCACTCACTATTCCTGTAGCCGTCACTAAATAAAGGAAATTTAAACTGTAACTTAATGAATTCAGGTGTCAAACAAACATGAGTGAGACATCTTTATCATATTCTAATTCATCCCCATCTTTCATACAGTTTGGCCGATGACTGTTTCTACTACTCTCCACAAAACCTTTGGTCCTCCAGAAACATTTTGTTTGGATTGCAACCCAATCATCAGAATCACACATCACATCTGCTCCTCTATTTCAGAAACTACAGATTCTTACTATTAATGATATATTTTTCAAATACGTGCCTTGATTTATAAGATGTATTCAATCGAAGGGAATATTTAATAAGATTTAGTATCAAATTATGGAACAGCTGAGAAACTGTTTCTCTATAAAATGTTACAAAAGATGCTTAAAAGACCATTAAACTTCTGTTTAATAACTGTTTTTTTCCATGTATTACTGTCCAAGTATTAATGTTTTAATTATTTTGCTCATATTGACATGTATTATCACTATTGCTCATAGAGTTAAACTCATACACATCACATTTTCTGCTCTTATTTTGATAATATTGTTATTATTAACAATAATAACATAAGCCCACTGGGCTGTGTGTCTCTCCCTGCTCTGCATGTTGTTTGTTTCCTGTCTATTTTAAATTGGGTAAAAATAAACAAAAGTAAAACTAAACTAAAACTCGTGAAGAACAGTTATCATGTGCCAAATTAACTGGCCAGCATCAGCGCGGTCAGATGCAAGGGGTTAATAAATGTACACATTATATAGTGAGACAGCACAGAAAGTAGCCAATACCTTTGGGGTAAGTACATCATCCTCAAGTGATGGATGAGCTGAAAGGCTGAGCTGACAGGGGTCCACAACAGGGGGGATTTATCAATAAACAGACCTGTTGGCCAGCCCTGACCTCCCCAGCACCACAAAGCTGTTCAGATCAGCCTGCCTGTAACGAAGCCCGGGAGTGTGGCGTGTGCGATTAAAGGACGCCCATGGGTGGGTGGATGAGGTGAGGGCGGGGTCCGTGGGTTGCAGCTGAATTGTTAATGAGGTGGAGGTGGTGTTGGGTGACATCACAGTGCCTCTCAGTGACACAGGGTACTAACTCCTGGCCCCTCCCTGAGGCCCGGACCTCAGCTCGGGTTGTGGGCTTGATGATGAACGACTGCATAGGTGTAGGGGTGTGTGTGTGTGTGTGTGTGTGTTCTGTTAGACAAAACTGATGCATCATTCTGTCACACACACACACGATTGTGCACTCCCCCTCCCTCCTCTGTAGTGCAGCGTAATGCGGTCATTAATATCTCAAACAGCAACACACACCTGCACACACAGTCAGCTGCTTGTTGAAATAACACTCATACATATGTAACAACCGATGCAAGAACACACACACACACACACGCGTGATAATTCAGTGCAAACTCCTCACGTTGTCTCGCCGTGTAAACTACAGTAGACACCGTTCTAAATTCAGCGGCGTAAGTGACAGGCTGCCACGGACTTCAGCCTGTGAGCACATAAATGATGTGGATTGATTATTATTCCTGAGGCAGCGTCAGCAGCTCCGACGCTGCCTGTGTGAACCCCATGTGCACTGAGCTGCTGGGTGGGGGTGGGGGTGCAGGGGGGAGAGAAACAAAGACGAGTTCATATTTAATTCAAATACCCAGCGAGTGTGAGTCTACCACAATCGAACTGAGGAGACGACAAGCTGATATCGAAACAAACACAGAAGCTTCACGGACGGATGCACTGTCGAGTGTTTAACAGAAACCATTCTTGACTATTTTGGAGAAAGAGTTTTTAACTTTTTTTAAGTTGTACTCATGAACATGGCAAAAATATTGATATAGGCATTACAGCCTCAGTCTGCGGCTAGGATTTTCTAATGTAATTCAATTATACACTTTCATACTGTTTAACAAGGATTGTTTATTTAGAGAAAAAGAATGCACTTAGCGTCACTCGCTTTGTTTACACAGATTTGAGCCTATAAACCAGAGTTATGAGCAAAACATCCCACTGTCCCACTGTCATTAGATACTGATTCCTATTGTTGCAAAACTGTGATTGCTGCAGGGAAGTATGTGACATCACCTTTTTCAGTTTGAGCCCAACCCCTCGTCAAAGCAGCACAGACAGCAGAGAAAAACACAAACGCAGAAATCTCTTGTGGAATAATCCAAACTGTTCTTCTACTGGCAGGGAAATGTTCAGTATGTTCAAAGTTTTATTTTTTTTATTTTTTTTATTTTTTTAGGGGCCTCTTCTGGCTTTTACTGATCGTGATGATTGAGATTTTCTTTACTGAATTTGTGAATCAACAGAAAACATGTGTAGCATTCATTTTGTTTCCTCATATTCAGATTAGTTACCAGGCGGATTTTGTCAGTGTTACGTGCCACAGTGCTGTGTTGTGTTGTGTGTTCGGCTGTCCCTGTTCCCCAATCAGGAGCTGGAGCACAGAGGCTGAGGGGGGGGGGGGGGTCTGATCTCCCCCAAGATAGCTGCTAGGAGCTGTAATGTGTGCATAGTGACATTCATAATATTTTGTGGTGGTGTTGTGCAGTTTTAGTTTCCAACTGTTTCAACTGTCGGTTCTTCGTTTAAGCTTTTTCTTATTGTGAATTAAATTCCTTATTTGTTGCTGAATCTGTTTCCTGTTTCTTCTTTTTTTGGCTTTGTTAGTTGAGAATGGCAACAATGTGAGAGGGACGCTGGCAAACTGTGAATTTGTAAACATAAAAAACCCCCAAAAATTCACCTGCCAGCGCTTTACCTGTCTTCACGCCGTCTTCCTAATCTTATTTCTCCCTCTGCCATTTTGTATTTTTCCTCAAACTGAAGACATCATCCTTTGAGAAATGGTTGCCCTTTGCCCCCCCCCCCCGAAATATTTTAAATTCGTCCAATTTCCTCCTGTAATTGCGACACATTTTATGACTTTAAAACCCCCCTACTCAGGATTAATACAGCCTCAGCCCTGCTGCCCTGTGGGGATTAAATAATGCAGGGCGTACCGCATAATGATTTAGAGACAGAGAATTCAGCAGCAGAGAAAATCAGGTGCTCGTTTGGTTTCAAGTGCTCTATTTGTCACAGTTGCACCAGATCTAATTAGAAAGCCGCTTGTGTGACAGCGAGTTCATTTTCAAATGTCACATTAACATTTAACTTGTTAGTTGAATGTAAAATGCTAGTTTTTTAAACTAATAAGCACCACAGCGGCAACCAAACCAAACTCTGGAGTATGCTGACCTACGTGTTGTAAATTGCTTAAATTTACATGGGTTATAACAGTAACAGTAGCTCAGGGAACACGGTGAAATTGAAAAACAAGAGCGGTCAGTGATCAGAAAGGTTGTTAACAAGTCAACAGCTTTGTCAAATGCAAAGGTATGCAAAGGTTGTCTCAACTTTCCTGCCACACTGACGCGACGTTCACGCTGAAACACCAAGCTCGTGTGTTCAGACGAACTCTGTAGGTTGTTTTGGAAAAGCTCAGTGTTGGGGGAAGAAAATGGGCGAGAAAAAGATGCATTTACAAATTTAAGCGGCTTTAATGGGGACATACACTGAGCATAAGTTTGCCTGTAGGTGGCGATTTGCTAACATCGCTCCCCAAACGCTCATTACTTATAATTATTACAGGAGTAAACCCAAATACCAGCTTGGTTACCGATGACTTCTCTCTCTCCTGCTCTCTCTGCTCGGTGTGTTTTATGTTTAGTTATTCCTCTGTCCTCCTTCAGTAATAATGATACATGTAATGAAAGTACTTTATTTGCTGTAATGGAGGCGAGGCTCAGTGTACTGGTAGTGCTCCTCCTCTTCCCTGCCGTTCCCAAGCACCAGGGGAACCAGAGCGGCTCGGTCGACTGCGGCTCGACACTCCGCTGATGACCAGTGGTGGAAATGTCATCAGTCAGTCAGTCAGTCAGTCAGTCAGTCAGTCAGTCAGTCAGTCAGTGATATTCCACATTATAGAGCAGGCCTCATTGTTGCGGTCCAGCCGAAGAAAAAAACCCATCAAAACAACACACACACAGAGTATGTATACTTACTACAAATACACATAAACAGAATGTCAACCACACACAAATCCACTGATTAGCTGAAACACAAACGTTACTCAAAGAAGAAAGTAACACTTTGAAGAGAGAGAGAGAGTAAAAAAGCAAAAGCAGCGCTGGCACCAGATTTCCCTTTCATGTCAAGAGGTGAAAGTTGCCAAGGCAAAAAGACAGAAAAAGATCAGTGGGTGTTTAGTGGGTAAATTTGGCAGGATGAAAATGAATATTTAATTTTTTTCTTTTTACTCTTCCTGGGAACTGTGATAAATATTCAGGGCAAAAGCCTCGAGAGCTCCCCTTCACACAGAGCGTGCGACTGTGAGCCGAGTCAGGCGTGACGCAGGCACGCACACTGAGGCTAAAGCTAAAGGACTGCACACACATGTAAAGACCCTGTTGGATATTATACAAAGACACACATTGTTCTTTCCTCTCCCCGTCTCCCCGTCTCTCTCTCCCTCTCTCTCTCTCACACACATATTTGGAGATAACAGTACAGAGTACAAACAGTCTCCAAATTGGTGATTTCCGCCTTATTTCCGCTCAAATAAACATAACTTTGCAATTGTGTACACACTGACAATAACACACGCATGAATGGAAAATAAATGCAACACCCCCCCCTCCCCCTACCTACACACAGACACACACAAATACACAAAAATCTCCCACAAGCTCCATGTGACTGAGAGAAAGCTCAGTTTGCTCCTATCTGAAACAAATATCCACACCGGGCGACTTTATCATCCTTTAAACCTGTCTGCTGTTTATATAGGGTCACGTGATTTTGTGTAAGATCATATTGTATTAAAGGTAAGACTCGGTTTTATGACTCCGTTAACGGGTTCAGGGGTGGTCCGTCTTCTGACCGTTTGTTTGTCTATAAATGTCGGCGCCCCCCGGGAGAGCCACTTACCGCAGCGGCCTCAGAGTTCTCAGCAGCCTCAGCACTCGGAGCATGCCCAGGATCTTGGTACCCGAGTTGGAGATGAGAGACACCAGGATGTCGATGACAGAAATCATCACCAACATCCCGTCCAAAATGTTCCAGCTGCTCCTCAGGTAGGCCTTGTCCCCGAAACACCAGCCCAAAGCTACAATCTGGACACAAACAGGGAGGAAAAGAGGCATGAAACATAAACATACCGCAGGGTGTAGATGCTGTACGTTAAAGGGAGCAAACTGCCGCAGTACCAAATGAGTTTGGTACAATTAAAATCAAATATTAACTCCGAACATAGATGTCAGAAAATGATACACGAATCAGTAATTCAATATCTATTTTCGTCTGTGCGGGAGCAGATTTGTTATCAAGCCATCTTTTGCATTTATTAGGAGCCGCTGCTCGATGTCCCACATGCACAGCTTATTGACTTTGTGGAGCGATTGTTTACTTGGAGCTTGGCAGAGAAGATCATAAAAAACAAAAAACGCAAGCTTTCCAAGCCTCATTTCTAATTCTATAGGTTCCCCTCAGCAAAAGCAATTTGCATTCCAAGAAAAGGACAGAGAGCGGCTGACTTTGTTTTTTAGCTCAAACTTATTAAACAATGAGGCCAAGACGCTGATTTCTGCTTCATGCATTTCTAAACATCTACCCCTAACTGAGGGAGCAGGACAGAGGGGGGAGATAGGCAGAAGATAATTTACATTAAATGATGAATAAGGTGTCTGTCACTTTGTCTAGTCTTCACTTTGTGCAGCTGGGTTCAGCATGGGTAGAGTTGTTGCATCTAAAATTTTACCTGAATGTTTATGCTACTTTAAACTATATTTCAGAGGAAAATAATGTACTTTACCAACAGTGGAGGAAGTATTTACATACAAGTGCAACAGCGTAAATATATTACAAGTAAAAGTCCATCATTTAAAATGTTATCTTGTTATCTAAGTGCAGAGAGCAAGCTACTGAACTTTGCTTTTCTCTAATCTAGGCTGTTTTGTGAATTATCTAATTTATCTAATTTATATCATTTTACCTCTTTAAAAAAATCTGAGAAAATCCTTCTTTAGAGGAACTGCTAACAACAGACATAGAAAGCATTTTTTGAAATATTGGATGATTTAACTTCTTTGGGCCTTGAGCAGTTATCTAAATAAAACCACCTCAGAAGTTTTTACTTTTTGTTTTCTTGAATTTGAAAAGTATGGAAGAGGATTAGGGCCACATGTTTGTTTTTACATTACTGACTTTAAACTCAGAATTCTGACTGATTTTCCTTATTTTGACCCTGATCCTCTTCTGTAGAAGAGTGGGTGACCAAATACAAATACAAAGTAGAAAGTTTAAGAAAATAGAAACGTGCAAGTAAAGTACAAGCACCTCAAAATTGTAGTATTTGAGTACAAGAGTATTTGGAGTACATGTACTTTAACTTAACTTCATTTACTGTTGCTGGACTTTCACGTCATGGAGTATTTTTACATTTTTGTAGGTAAAAGATCTTAATGGTTCTTCCACTACTGGCAACGTGATGTTACTTATATGATAAAGGTTAAATTGAATTAGCTCCTTGAAATCCACAGAGTTTGGATCTGGCGACATGTTTGGTGATAACCAATCATCAATCATTTTTTGAGATTATTTGGAAATTAAATGTTGGACACAATCAGTGTTCTCTGTGTGTGTGTGTGTGTGTGTGTGTGTGTGTGTGTGTGTGTGTGTGTGTGTGTGTGTGTGTGTGTGTTTGTGTGTGTGTGTACAGGCTCTACCTTCCCGAGCCAGGCGATTGCACTGGGACCAAAAATAGAGACAGAGACTTTCCTCCCCTCTGCCTCCGCTCGCTCCTGCACACGCCAGCGTGGACCTCCATTTAAAGGGCCATTTAAATACTGAGCGAGACTATCCTCTGCTGAGCACTAGCAAACAGCCCTGAGAGTGTGTGTGTGTGTGTGTGTGTGTGTGTGTGTGTGTGTGTGTGTGTGTGTGTGCCTACAGTACAGCACAGGTTTCTCCATCTTATACAATTTTATTTATTTACTTATTTTTACATTGTGAGTGAATACAGATGTGTCACATCTTGTTTCTTTCAAAGCCCTGGGGCAAATGAGAGGTCTTCATATGAGGCAACCAGTGTTTTTTATACGGGACTCAGCAAACAAATCTTTTGTGGCACAAGAGATTGATGTCAGCTGAGTAAGAACGCAGGTCAGTGATGACTTTGTGGGAGAATACAAAACAAATATGTACACCTTCAAAAAGACTCGAATCCTATCACATGACTAACCAGTGGCTAAAAATGTCTTACCTTTACAGTCATCTCTGCGACAAAGATCGCTGTGAAGATGTAGTTGGACAGTGTCAGGAAGATCCGTTCCTGCCGAAGAGAGAGACCAGAGATAATGTACGTGCTAATAGATAGAATAAAAGCATTTTTTTTTTCCTACTTTGTTCTTTCCTGCTGAATAATGTACGAGGGAGATGTTTTTTTCCCTCGTACTCAAAACATCTTTGTACAAACATCCCTATTGCGCTCACTAATGATGGCTGGCAGGCAATCCTAAAGTTTACTCTTTATTAGCACCGCAGGAAAGATTTAAACAAGGCATCTGATTTGGCGTTTAGCCTTGAGAACTTATTTTTCTTTATACCAGTTAAAAAAAAATCTGTCAATGTTAACCCATTTTTTTTTTTGTACTGCAAATGAACTGCAAACTCTACTGAATGATGCTGGGAATAAGTGATATTATATCACTTGTGGAACGTTAATAATAAATGTGTTAAAAACAAGAATTTAAGGCTGAAACTGAAGAAAATGGCTGAATCACTATAAAGTTTCCGTGTGGATGTTCCAAACAGAGCTATAGTTTGCTTAAATTTATTCTTATCATATGTACATTTACAGTTTGTCCTACATACATTAACAAGTCCTAATAAACTATTTTAATTAAACTGAGGATTTGCTCAAGTGATTTTTCCTCTGAGTCAAAGAGACGGCGGCTTTTCACTGTATTTTTAGCTGGAGTTTTTGAAAGAAACAGATTGTTAGAGACAGCCACAGAAGCTGAGCTCCCTCAATAGGAGTACAATACAATACCTCCCTCTTCCTCCTCTCTAATGGCGGTGGTATTATTCCCAGTTCGACGCCTGACTGTCTGTCTGACCACGGCTGAGGGGAACCGCAAGCCATCACCCTGAAGAGCTTATTCCAGCTCAGCCTGGTTTGAAGTAGCGCTGATCGCAATGGCAGACGCTATGACTTGTACGGAGAGGCATTATGCTTAGTCACACGCCAGAGAAAACAATATCCAATACCAAACACTTCCAGTAGGTAATCGCAAGTGGCAAAAGCTCCACTAGTCACTGTACGCTGGAGGCCCCAGACACCTGAGAGGTTCAGTGTGTGTGTCTCTATTTTTACAGAACACAAAATCCTACAAACAGTATAACGACCGCAGTTTCCAATTATACAACTACAAACCCTTCCTGTTTCCCTGAGCAACAAAAAACAAGAGTCAACCCACACCTCCTGGAGCGCTTTGATCACGGTCCAGTCTGCAGCGCCATCTCTCCATCTTAATGTTGTCTGGGGCAGATGACGTGGCTGCTGAAAACTACGACTGATCGTACGCTATACTGTTGACGCTGATATAATTCAATTTAGAGCTCTAGATAGTTCAGTCCCTCAGCTCAATTAGAAATAATACATCATAATAGGCAGTATAATCATCCCCAATCATTTCCACTGAGCTACAGGAAGACAGTATCCAGGCAACCTCCAGCACCAAACCAAAACAGCAGCGGACTGCGAGCCAAATGCACAGTGTGTGACATAATTTCCAGGACAATAAACTAATTATTCAGCCTGCATTCCTCACTGAAACGCTGTGACTAAAACACTTTATCTCTCTAACTGTGACATTTCTATTTAAGGAATATAACATGTGTCTTCTGCTGGGTTAACACCACGGGTGATATAAAGCATATGTAAGTACTTCAAATGAGTAGCAGTGGAGTGATTAATTATACGTCTGGTTGTTATACACAGGCCAAAACGGAATCAGCGTGTGGAAATCGATTCACAATCGGCTTCATTAATTCAAAACAACCCACACAAACAAACAGCAACACGCAACCAGCGCTCCGGCAAATGAGATCTGGAGCAATAAGCGTCACAGCTCAAAACTGTAATGACTTCTCCATCTCTTGTTTTTGGGGGGTGGGGGTGGTTGCTATGTCATATATTTCCATCTCATTTCACTAATGGCCTCAGGGTGCAGACTGGACATGACGGCCGTAGCAGGAGGCTGACAAAATATATGTACATCCAAAAAACACTCTCACTCGCTGAAAGTTAGTGCAGCTGCTGTGACGGATTTTTGCGATTTTGCTCAAGTTTATATATTTATATACATTTATATACGTGTTGTGTGTGATCGGCCTGCCCCGATGAGACAAGGTGGGGATGGTCTCCTTTCCTGGACATCACCCAGACATACGACGGCACCGTCTCTGTCCCAAAACCAGCAGAATGGAGCATTCCCGTGAAGACGGAAAAGAGAAAATCAAACAGTGATAATCATTGTGTTCGTGCACGGAACGGCGGGGCTGTGCTCCGCTGCTATTGCTGGATGTAGGAAAAAGGACAAGGAGTTGTGTGTGTGTGTGTGTGTGTGTGTGTGTTGATGCGAGGCATTCGGTCAGGCCTCCTCTATCTGATGGGATGGTGCATTAGCTAAAGAGGTGATGGTGTTGATGGTGTTGTAGATACTGGGATATAACACACATTACCCAAAGCTCAGTCGCACAGGTTCCTGTGCTCACACAATGTTCCACTTCATTTCTCTGCAGACAGCAAACTCCAGTAGTAATTCTCTTTTTACGTGTGTGTGTGTGTGTGTGTGTGTGTGTGCATGTGTTTGAACAGCCATTAAGGTTTGACTGGCTGACAGGTACTTTTTACCTTTTTTCTCCATTTCAGTTTTGGACTATTTTGAGCCGCAAGGCAGCGAGTTTCTTTATTCTACACACACAGCTCAGGAAGTTCTGTATCTTTATATACATACATGTCTATGTATATGCATATACACTATAGGTACTGCATATATAGTTTTGTTTCTTTCCTGTCCAACTGTCTTTCTGTACGTCTTTCATTTTTCTCAGTTTCTTAGAGAGTCTGACTTTACATGGAGGATAGTTAGGGATCGTGTTTTTGACACTCACAGCACTGCTGGGGTCGATGCGCGGCCTCTCCATGGCGATAGTGATGCAGTTAAGGAAGATGATGACCAACACAATGTGGTCAAACATCTTGTGGGTGATGATCTTCTTGCAGATGATCCGAAACCTAACAAAACATAAGCAGAAATGCGAAACGTAAGCAACACTGGAAATGGACTTGACATGTGGTATGCAAGCAGGTATATGGCGTATAACCCACCTTTGAGCAGGTGCATGCACTGCATACATTCCTTCAAAATAACCACAGATACACATCAATGCACATCTTGCAGAACATATTTGCAGGAAATCATGTTAAAGTCTTACAAGTTTAAGGCAACACCTCCCGGAAAACACAACACCCTTGTAGAATGGCACAAAGCCGCCCCCGGCTGAAGTGGTTGGAAATGTTCACTCAAAGGCAAGTCAAGTCAGCTTTCATTTGTATAGCACCAAAACACAACAGGTGGTCATCATCTTCCTCAGCTGCATCACTTTTCGGTGCAGACGGTGCTATTTTTAGCCTGTGGTCGTCTCGTCAGGTAATCCACAATCCAGGACGTGAAGCAGGGATCCACCCCCATCCCTTCCAGCTTGTCTTTAAGAAGTAATATATCATTACATTATTATAAAATGTAATGATATATTACATTATTGGATTATTAGCACTAATGCATTAATGTGATTAAGCTTTTACTGTTGTAGCAGGTTGAGGTGGAGCTAATTTGACCTATTTTACATACTGTGCGGTGGGTTAACGGATCATATGTTTTATAAGTAAAACTTTAATCGGTGAAGTAGCCTAAAAGTACAATTATATTCCAATCAGTTGTAATTGAGTAAAAGTATAAAATGGCATGAAATGGAAATATCTACACAAGCGTCCACAGTGTCCAGGCTGCGGCTCGGTCCAGGCGTGTTGTATATAAAGAAATCACAGACTGTACAAACTGCAAGTAATGAAAGATCTCATTCAATTTATGAGAGCTTGTCTCACATATAGTGACTCTGTAATCAACTGCTGTAGAATTAAGGAGTCATTAATTATCCCTGACTTTCATTTACCCAACATGAAAAGGTCCCCAGGCTTTTAGCTCGTGACAACAGAGAGAAAGAAAGAGGGAACGCTTGTTATATGTGGCGCGAAGGGATTAAACCTCGCATCGGATCCGCTTTGATGGCTCATATCGGTCTGAGTGTACAGTAGATTTTTACCATAATTTTATACAGACGACATCGTGTCAACACTGTTTGAGTCTGTGCGTGTCATCTGGATGTGGTATTATTATTCACACAGTATACAGACTGTATGAGCTAATTCCTCTTTGATATCAGCCCGCCAGAGTCATGATGCTGAAGGATGCGTGTGTTTTCTTCAAGCCGGCGGGTGTGAGGAGGGAGGGAGGGAGGGAGGAGTGAGGAGGGAGGGAGGACACACCTCCAGAAGCTCCTCCTCTGCAGTTGGACGGGCCGGTGTCTGACTGGGACCTTTAATGTCAAGTTCAAATGGCCCCTGAGACTCAAGCTAAAACCTCAAGACAAACTGTCCCCAGACACTCCCAAAAGGCAGCTGTTAAACATCTTGACATCTTCATACATGGATGTTTATATAAAAAGATTTTGACAAGCGTTTGAAGCTTTCCCCCTCTGATAATATTTACTGACATTCAGAGTTTTTCTGCATCAAATGACCTGTGTCGAAAAACTATTCTCTCACGGATCATTTGAGGTTTTACACTTTGACACTTTCCTCATTAATTTTGCAGATTTCTTAACAAAGTCAATCATTTTTCTTCATCTTCATTTTTGTTTCTCTGGCGTTTGTTTTTGCTCTTCGTTTTCCCCAAACATCGCCTGTCACTTCAGCAGTGCAGGCGCTTACTGTGACACGTTTGCTCGTATCTTCTGCTTGGTGATGCAGCTCAGGCGTGACCTCTCTGACTACAGCAGATGAGAGCTGCTCGCCCAGTTCTTCTTCTGTGCACGCCAAACAAACCGGAGACACACAAACGCCATCGCTTCCTGTGGGGTCCTGTTTTCCAGGAAAGAGGCCGCGCACTGTACAAGGGGAACACATACGCGACCCCTCAGCTGTTCTTTCACAGCCCGTCGTTGAGGCGAACACACCTAAGCGCAGCGACTGAATCACCACCGCGTGCCCACAAAAGCACGGCCCGCTCCCCTCGCTCATTAAAAACTTCCCCCGCAGTAATCTTCAGCAGCAGCCGTAACAACAGCGAGCACGAAGGCAGGCGGAGGTGAACTCGGGTCCACGTGAATGTCACTGTACTCCGGGGGCCTCCCACTACGCTGCTGTCTCTTGATGTGATTGTGAGCACAGGCGGGCGTCCGTCGGTTTTTTTCAAGGCCAGAAGGGACGCCACGCAGAGCCTGTGTCCTCGGTGTCACTCTCCACATGGCTAAACCTTTCAGCCCGCTGTGACTGGAAGCCAGCTAGAACCCCGGTATGAGCCAAGCCCCTTCAGTTTTCTTAATACTCTGACAATAACAGACTACAGGGAGCTTTTCCCATTAACCTTTTCCAAATTATATAATATGACCAGCAGAGAGGAGAACCATCAAGAACTCTTGAAAGGGCTCAACTTCACGGACGGACTACATGCAACTACAAGAGACACACAAGGGGAAAAAACTCACTGTGTTTATGGCTGGAGGTGAAATGTCTCTTTTACAACGATGGTCTATGGTGAAAATACTTTTTGGGCCACAGGGAGAAAACAAAGGCTGCATACGTCTTCCCGCGGTGACCACCCACACAGATCGCCATTGCACCAAATTATCAGCATCAAAGTCAAGTCTGCTTGGCCTTTAAATACTCCAATACTCTGAGGTGCTGCTGACTTTATACCGTATCTGAGAGCCGTTACAATTCAAACATGCAATCAGTCGGACTGGACATGCCATGACACAAGGAACGGCTAACATGAAGTTATCGGGTGGATGGGGGGGGGGGGTGTTTGATCTTTAATCAGCATGTTGCGGTGTGTTTTCGACGGCAGCCCGGGGGCCAGCGTTTTGTTTGGTGTTGCCTTCGTGGATCGCATTCCTCCGAACAGACAGCAGAGACAGCAGAGATCAAAGCCCCAGAAGGGGAGGGGGGGGGCGACCGATGGATTCAGCACGTGGCTGAGATAACACGCAGCACTCAGTAGGAGAAACTCCCTTTCCTCCCTCTGCTCCTGCTTACTCACCCCTGACACGGCAGAAATGTGCAGATAAAAGAGACGTCTGAAGTGAGAATGTGGGAGGGAATCGGAGCTGATACAGGAAGGGAAGGGGGGGGGGAATAAAAAATGCTGCGCTCACATTGCAGTGACTTTGCTATTACACTCAGCTTCATGGGATGTCAGTCAAATGTAATGTTAAGAATCCTTTCTCTGTCTTTCCCTATACCAAAAACTATCATTTCAAAAGTGCTGAGCAGCTGCGTCTTTTGAATATTTCATTTCATTTTTTAGCTTAATTGACTTAAGCTTAACTGCCACAGGAGAAATAAAACAACAGACTCTCCGGGTGCCGTGTAACCAGGACTTCCATGAATATATAAAAATATTCATATTGTCTATAGAAAAAAAAAAAAAACCTGCAAAGCTCAGAAGGAGGAAAAGACGCGGCGTTATCGGAGATGAGTGGAGGTGTGAATGCTACCTGGAGTGTGGAGGGAAGAGGTAGAGTGACCAGGTGTCTCTCTGTCGACACCACTCTGGCTGCTTCTTCTCCAGCCAGCGGAACAATCTGGCAAAACGACCCTGCAGCGAGGAACAGAAGCATCGGCAGAACATTCATTATTCAGAAATGCACAATTTCCTGTCGCATATCGTGAGTCACAGTCACACAGAAGTTACTGAATTCATACATACGTTAAAGAAAAACTACAACACCTATAAACTCATACACACTCATGCTTTAGCCTGATGTAACATGCAAATGAGCGTATCTGATATTCCAGCTGAGATTATAAATCTTTTAAATTATTATACAAACAGCCACATATCTTAGAATAAATTTATTATCTGGGGAAAATTAATTCAAAGAGGAGCAAGAGACTGAGCTTGCATCTTTCCCTGCCTCTTTGCACAGAGACCGAATCAGAATCAATATTGATAAACATCGGTGCGTAGTAAATTTAATCTATATGCATCTTTTCTTGTATCAATTAACATAGAAAAAACCTCGACTGTTGACCTTTGACCACCAGATTCTAATTAGTTCATTCTTGAGTCCGAGTGAATGTTTGTGTCAAAGTTCCCTCAAGGTGTTACTGAGTTATGGCATTCACGAGAATCCCGAATCTCTTAATTTGCCTCCGCACCGGCGACCGCCATTATGTTCCCGTCCGTCCGTCAGATTCCTGTGAACACAGTAGCTCGGTAATACCATGAGGGAATATCTTCAAATTTGCCACAAACAGTCACTTGGACTCAAGGATGAACCTAATTGGATGACCTAGATTTTGGCAGTTAAAGGTCAAGATCAGATTTCCGGAGAGGCTACGATAGAGATAATGATGGAGTAACCTCCTTTCAAACGAGCCATTTATACAATAAATATCGTAGTGCACATAGGCTGACCAGGCTGGGCTCCTCCTCTGCATTCTCATCTTCAGTGTTGTCTTCTAACGAGACGTGTGTTGGACCCAGGACCGACAACGAGCCCTTTCCGTTGCAGTCGCTGTGCTCTGTGGGCCGTGCGTGGCCCAGTGACGGCGGCCTGGAGCTGTGCATATTGGCTGAGTGGTGCAGGTAGGGCACCTGCACAGGGGAGCGGAAATGGAGAAAGAAATTCGGGTTGTGCCGTAAAGCAGTTTCCCTTTTTTTTTTTTGCCATCTCGTCGTCCAGAGAGATGGATCTTGTGAAATGCTGGAATCTTTGGTTGTAAAAAAAAAACAAACAAAAAAGAAAACGTGCACACATGGTTTCTCTATGACACGAGTAAAGAAAACTGTAAAGCATCCCAGCACAAAGCTGCCTGATCTGGTCCAGGGGTAGATCCTGATCATTGCTAGTGTGAGATTTAGATGTTAATTCATGTTGTATATTTCAGTTAATTTACTAAAAATATATTTATCGTGTTTATCCACTTATTATTTACAGGTTTAAATATTTACATGTGCATCTACTTCCTCTGATTTACCTCAGTCTTAGCCCTCCTTATCTCTGATTGGTTGGTTTAGCGACATGTGACTGAGAAACAGGAAGTGTTGTTGTTGTTGTTGTGAGGCGGACGAAGTGGGGAGAGAAGTAAAACTGCAGCTTGAAAAGCGAATCCGTCGCCATCCAGCTGTTTCTTTTAATCGAAGGGATCCAGACCAGCACGCCTCGACCCCCGTCGCGTTACTCTTGTGTAGCGGAGGTTACCGTGGATACCAGACCATACAAACAAGCCTCGCTCATCTGGTTCTGGGTTTAAAGATGTGCGAGTGAAACAAGTTCTACGCCTGTATTTGGCAGTGTTGTGTTTGTTCCCACACCGTCATGAATTGTAAGCTGGTTTTACTGGGACACTTTCTGACAGATCTCGAACTACGACTTTAGGAACGACTCTCCAGTAAGAGCAGTAAAGAGGAACGCCATAAATACACTGACAATATAATTTTAAGATGCACATTAAAGGATACTACTGTCAAGAGAGCGGGGTCTACAGTTTGTGGAGCTTTTGGTATTAATCCAAATAATTTTGTTACCACTCCAAGTCAAAGAGTCGGGGGGGGGGGGGGGGGGGGGGGGGGGGGGGTCTACCTGTAGCAGAGCATCAGGTGGCAAATCCATGGAGCTCCGAGTCTCGACTGACTCCATCCTCCGATGTCCGGGACCTCTCTGCGACTGCGACATGGAGTCAGTCCTGGCCAGCGAGGTGTCATCATCCTCTATCAACCCACCTCCTCCTCCTTCTCCTCCTCCTCCTCCTCCTCCGCCCTCCCCGTCCTCTGAGCTGGAGCCAGCCTCGCCAGAGAGGAGCGAGCGCCGCTCCCCCGACTGCCGCCTCTGGCGTTTGAGCGACGGGGCGCGACCCAGGCTGTTCCAGCTGGACCGCTGGCTGGTCCAGCTGCTGCCGGAGCTCCATGGGGCGTAGGGAGAAGCGCTCCGGGCACTGGTCTGGAGCAGGAGGAGGACAAATGGAGGACAGAGCGGTTTACAAGAGGAGACGGTGTGTAAAAAAAGTATTTTTCTTTCATGCAAACACTCACGTGAATTGAACTGAATTGAGATTCACAGACAGACAGGAGCAGATATAGAGATCTGGGCTGATTTATCTCAATAATCAGTTTGTCAAATAAAGAGTGGCGGGAGCAGCAGTAAGTAGAGTGTCGGACTGGAACGCCACATTAATCATTATCAATCATTATGGCCTCCACACACCAGCAGGACACATACAATGAAGTTGGAGAGACGCTCGGTGGAAGAGCAGGAGTTGGGAGTAATTCCTGGCACTTATCCCCTTTACACATGTATTAATGTTGGCTTTGTGACATCCAGGAACAGGGGTATTACACTCGAGAGCTGCCACATGTTCTTTGGTACGTGTGAGAATAATAATAAATGCACTAACCGGTGATTTTTCATAGCAGGCTGGGTCTACGGAGACGCTGCTGCCTCGACGGGACTCATAACCCAAGACGGGGTCACCTCCGACAGGCAGCTTAGGTACAGGCATGGGGGTGGCAGCCGTGTGGGTAATCAGAGGTGGAGTCAGGCTGGTCTTCAGGTCCACATGACCATTTACAGGCACTACTAGTAAAGGAAAGAGGGGAAGAAGAAAAATAAAACGCCGTGGGTTAGGAGCGGGTCAGAGCAAAAGGGATGAGAGTTGCGAAGAAGATTAAAGATGACCAGGGTTTAACGTGAAGAACGGAGCAGAAAATGAATGAAATGAAGGGATTAAAGAGAGCGGTGTTGCAAAGAAAACAACAGAGGTGAGAGATAAAACGGACAGAACAAAAAAAAAAAGTAGCATCACAGAGGAAAATGAAAGCACTGAATTGAATGAAAAGCAGGAAGAGGTGGCGCTCGGGGAGGAGTGCCACGTGGGTACAGTAACGCAGCACGGCATGTTTAAAAATGGATGCCTCATACTGTTATTGACTAACATGAATATTTCAGCAAGGCATTAATAGGATGCACGGAAGAGAATATTATTTGTTATGTTTGGCAGCGACACAAATAAACGACATGCGGAGGGGGAATGCACCGAGGCCGAGGAGATGTATATGAGGCTCCTCCAGCTACGTAATCACTTTTATACGGAGCATCTGACGGGGCTGAAGAGGAGATGATACTGTACGTCTGGGAGTTGTACTCCAGTGTTTCCATCGGGCTTTTCAGTCTGCAGCACGGTAATTAGAGGGGATGGGAAGTGGCGTATGAGGAATTATGGATGAAGCCGACGGTTTGATGGTGTGCAGAGAGACGGATCAGCCACGTGCCCACTGAAGGTGGTCGGAAAACCAGCGGGGGAAGACTGAGATACGGTGCAGGGTGTGTGTGTGTGTGTGTGTGTGTGTGTGTATACACAGGGTTTACATCACATGCATTAGGCCTAAATTTGCGCAGCTCATCGCAAGCTTTTACATACATTTAAAATAAAACACGTGGTGTGTAATCTGCAGGGATCTAACAAAGACGGGAAATGTTAACAATCGCAGATGGTACAAGGAGGATTAAATTCAATCCTTTGCATTCCTGTTATAGCATCAATAGCCATGCAGTGTATGTGTGTGTGTGTGTGTGTGCACGCCTCACCTGCAGAGGCCGACGATTCCTTCTTGCTGCCATTCACATCAACATCCTCCATACTTTGTGTGAAGCAATCAATTTCTGAACCCGATTTAGAAGCGTCGCCCTTGACACACAAACACACACAAAGTGTTAGAGGGAAACATCTGTGTAAATACGTGTTTCTGATTAGAGTTAACAGAAATCAGGAGGGTAGAAGTTGCCTCTAAACACGGATCCCCGCTCAGATGTACGTCCCTTCAAATATCACCTCAGTCACGGTTGAAATCTGACCTAGGATCAGTCACTAGAGGCAACCTTTCCCTGTGAGCGGGTAGGTGAGGGTGTGATCTCCCTGATCCCAGGGTTCAAAGGTCAAACGATAGAGAGAGAGGGAGAAAAAGATCAACTATGTAGAAAGTGTTGTCATGCAAAGAGACCGAAAAAGTTCATTGAGGAACCACACTGAAACACGATCGGCAAAAACAGCAACAAGGCACTTTTCAGACAGAACATGGCAGATATATTGAAACACACAGGTCTGACAATTTTCACACAAGCACATAATTCACTCCGAACGAACTTCAACAGTGGCGTCGGGCAATCTCTAAATCAGCAACCCAGTGTGACTTCTGTCAGAACAGCAGAAGTCTTTGTCCGTTGTTCAGCTCTCCATCATTGTTCCAGACGGTGATGTCAAAATGAGTCTTCCACATTGTCTCACATTAACATATCCTTCCTTCATCCATCCACCGTCTTTCACAGATTTTTTTTCTCAAGCTCTTAATTACCCTCGGCTAGCCTCAGCTTCACGCTGCTTTCCACTTACAAACCTGCTGCAGTGAGCATCACAGCTCCTGCTTGTATTTGTTGCACTACGCCAGAGACCTGCAGACTCCCATCAGTGTGTGCGAGGGCGCCAGGTGGACGCCGGATTAATAGAATGGCGACCCGGCGAGTCAAATCTCAAATGTGGCAGCAGAGTGAGGAAAACGGTGTGCAGGAAAGCCTCGGGACCTGATCACCGTGCAGCTCTTTTTAAACTAACAAATGACGTCCTTGACACTTCCCATGAGAGTTGGAGAAAGACGAAGTGGGTGTGGGTAGAACTGTATTTGTTTACTGGAGGCATGTTGGGTCTGTACGGAAAAAGATTAGGGCCACTTTTTCTTTCTTTAATCTCAGAATCTTTTAAAAGTTTAAACTCAGAATTCTGACTTTAATCTCAGAAAATAATTTTTTCTCATGTCCTAATCCTCTTCCGTCGGTATGGCGATCTTTGAGGCATCAATTTGCATTTTCCTCTCACAGTTAAAAGATGCTACTCGAATGCCCCAGACTGATTTCCCCCGACCTGTAGAGTAGGAAAATTAGGTAAGGAGAGCGGATGCTAATGAACTAACGGGCAATCAACTCAAGGGCTACTTGGAGACTACCGTCATCACGTTCCAGCATCGACTTATTCAGTGACTGATTCAATTAAAAAACTGTTGGCTCACAGCAGGAAACATGAAGCACCTGGATACTTCTAATATCGGGGTAGAATATATAGAATTTGTTGACTATCAGCAAGAGCCCCCCTCCCACAGGGTTCATCAACCCACATGCGATTAATCAGAAAGGACAGCTGTGATGGGACAAACCACAGATGAGCATCAGCGCTAAGCATTGTGGGTGCTCAGCCTCATCCCTCGCTCTCTTAGTTTTCTCAGGTAGGAGGGAGAGAGAGAGGAGAGAGGTTGTGTTTTTGGTTCCTGCTGAGCAGTATTTTCTGGTCACTGTGAAGGTCGGTGTCCACTCACAGAAAAATCAAACCTAGGCCAGGGGCTTTGCTGCGAGGGCCTTGCAGTATAACAACCAGACGTGACGGGATCGGGCGACGACAGATGGGACAACCTTACCTTTCCTTTCTCCTTCCTGAGGCACACAGACAAAAACAGCTGGCTCAACACAACCGAAGCGGTTTTGCAAAATTTGTCAAGAGTTTGTCAGTTTGTGAGAACAACACTGAAAACAAGTGATGGAAAGGTGGAAACATTGTTATCATCCAATCATCCATGTGTCCTCCAGATTTGGTGCTCTGATTTCTCTGTTACACATAAGGAACATGTCAAACAATGCAAAGCCGTTAGTCGATGTCTCAGCTTAACTACAAGAGCTGTGTTTATCCCCGGCTTTAATCTGGCGTTATTTCATAAACCTACAGAGCCAAGAGGAAAAAAGGAGTGAGACTGGAGGGAAACAACAGAAAGAAAATGGAGTTTCTTGCCGAGTACTGATACAGGTCAGACGCCGAGCCAAGACCCCATGAATGACCCAGGTGATTTTGGCGTAAGCTGCATGAGGCATTGCAGCTTCCGCGTTTATCACATGACCCACACGTCTCTAAAATGGTGAGTACAACTCACCAGTGGGAAGTCTTGGACATACTCTCACCCAGCTCGATTATTCAATTAGAATTCAAAATTTTCCGGAGCATTTATCTCATATATGTATATACATAAACACACAAATACACACAAACACACACACACATATATATGTATATGTATATATACAGTATATATAGATGAAACGGACCATTACCATGATTAAAATCATGTATTTCTTCATGTATGCGAAACATTTGGGAGAATATAAGCACACAACTCAAAAAAATATAAATAAATAAATAATATAATATAATATAATATATATCATAGGTCTAGTCATTTTTAGACATTTTAACATGAAACAGTTTGATATTATACCTTTGATACATCCATGGGCTGCCACACAAACACAAGGTGGGTTTCTGCCTGGCCTACAGCAAACTGCTGCTGAATACAAGACCAGTGACTAAAGGTCAGTTTTCCAGCTGAACAAACATAAAGTAGAAAAACAATATCTACACAGCTCAGCGTCACCTTTCCTTCATCCTTTCGTTTACAGTACGAAGTAAAAGCACAGATTTCATTTAAGTGACCACTTCTAAATAAAAAACCCCTTGCTCCAGCTTCACAGTGATTTTGTTTCCTTGTAAGCGGAAGGTTTTCATAGCTTCAAATTGCCAATGAAAGCCAGTGGAAGCACAGGGTATTACACTAATAACAACAGATCAATATGTTAGTAGACAATCTAATCTGCTCAACTCTATTCTTCTCCCGTCTGGTCTGTGTGCAGCAGCAGTATAAACCTTTGACGTGTAGTATATATATATATACAGTATATATATATATATATACACTGATTATGAATTTGACAAATTTCTTTCAAAAAGAAAGTTTCTCTTCCCTCTCTGTCTTGTCTTTTCTACATGTTCTCCTCAGTCTTTTTCTCTTTTTCCAGCCTTTCGTACAACATCCTCCACGGGACAGGCAGACATTAATTCGTAATTCAGCTGTCAGAAAAACCAATCCTCTGAAAAAGATCCAGCTAGAGTGGATTAAAGAAAGAAAAAAAAAAAAAACTTCCCTGCCCAACTACAGTTTGAACAACAACAAAAAAAGAAATTACATTTTTGTGTGTGTGTGTTTTTTTTTTTTAATTTCCAGATTAAGGCAACTCAGCAACTCGACTGGTAGAGAACCAATCACCAGAGTAGCCTTTACATTTTCTGGTTGTAATACTAATCTGGGGAAGGGAAGAGATGTTAATAGGATTATAATTTTTCTGAGTGTGTGCTCTCAGAAATGCTGATGCTGAGTGCACTTTTGGTTTGGGGAGAATTTAAGCCGAGATCGGTTAGCAGAAGGAAGCGTTCTCACCAAACATTAGACAATGGTTGGTTTCAGTGGAGAAAGGAAAGGTGGAGACGATAGCTTCGGACTCGAGGGAAATCCGTGGGCCTGAAATAGCCGGATTGTTTGTTTACACTCTGCCACCTCAATTTGGGCTTGGTGGTGGGACCAGGAGATGGGCCAGACCAGGCGTGCTGCTGATAGCCAGACAATAATAGACACCAGCAGCACACAGGGGGATCTCAATTACATCGCTTCAGTAAGGGGTGTAAATGGGAGACAGTGGGTGGCTGTTGATAGGAGGAAGGGGAGTAATTGTCTGTGTGTATGCATGCGTGTGTGTGTGTGTGTGTGTGTGTGTGTCCATCAAAATTGTATCCTACCACAGCTGCATTTGAGATTCATAAGCCCAGAACAGAGCTACCTGTGCTGTAGCAGCAAACATAACTCCAACCCTAAGCAGGCATCAGGTCCTGGGCTGACGAAGTTTTAATTAAACAATTTAATCAAAATGCACTTTTATTTTTCATTTGTTTGGACAGGACATTTTACTGAAATTTAAAAAAATAACAAAACATCTAAATGATGACTTTACAATAAGACTACCCTTTTATTTTATAGATGGTTAATAATTCGGTTTTTAACACTTTATACATTTATTACTTATTTATTACTTTACTTATTGGAAAGTGTAAAACACATCATCATGTATTAATGAGTTACAATAAGGCTCCATTTTACCCGTTATAAATGGTAGTAGCTCATTAGTAAGATTAATGAGTAGTGAGCATTAACTTGATCTCGCCAAATAGTGAGCCTGCATCAATGTATGAAAACTGTGTTATAACTTGTTTATAATTGTTTATTTCTAATTTATAAAGCTTTAACTGTATGAACAACCTAATTATAAATTATAAATCATTTATAAATCCTTTATAAGGGTAGTCTGATTGTAAAGTGGCAGCTAAATGATTCGTTTTTAAATTGGCTGATGGTGTACGCCCCAAACTTGAAATGTGATTAAATAGTTTCCTCTGAATCTGCAGTGGGCTGGTATATACAATATACAAAATACACAAAAGATACAGTGTTCTCTGCATTATCAGCCAACATCGGAGAATAAAAGTATAATAACAGTTTTAACCGTTGGACCAAACAGCAGACTCCACTCGAAATCCCCCAACTTCAAGCTCAGGCCCCCAGTGGCCCGACCGGACAAACAACAACAACAACAACACACTGTGAACAGTTTGGAGGATTTGCCCACTGGAAAAGTCAACAGCATTCAACAGTTTAAAATTAGAGGACATTAGGACAAAACTTACAACCATCTGTTGTTCAAAGGCCTCATTTCACTGAGTATACTGGCCTTACACTAAGAGCCTGAGTCATGCAAACAGAGTCGATCTCCCCCGCTTTCTTTATTAGCTCTCCACCTCTAGTCTGGCTGCCCCCCCCCCCCCTCTCCCTCCCCTCCGGCCCACTTACGTCTTCTCTATACCCCTGCCACATAAAACAGACTGAGAGAGGAAGATTTTTTGGCAGCACCACTGTGGTGTTCTTACCCTGAGGCTGGAAAGAAAGAAAGAAAATAAATAAATAAGAGAGAGAGAGAGAGGGGTGGGGTGGAGGGCTGGTGGGAGGCGAGCATTCAGTCTGAGGTTTTGATGTGCGTTTGATGGAGTCTGCTTTCAAAGAGGACGAGAAAAGAAAGAAAACACACAAAGCGAAGTGATGCAAGTGTTTTTAAGCGCTCTGTTGTCTTTCCTAAACTGCGGTGAACAGTCACTCAGTAACCCGGTTAGTCCCAGCAGCAACGGGCAGCATGCAGGAAGCAGGTCGGACGACTTCGAGATGATTTGACACATTCTCTGGCGGCCATGTTGGAGGTCTCCTGTTTGTGGCAACACAGGCAGCCGCAAATAGATTTTTTCCACGCTATTCATTTCTGTACTGCTTTGGAAGAGACTGGTTGTTTCCTATTGATAAAACCAGCCACAGCTCAATAGCGCTGTTGACTCAACTTGTTAACATCATTTCCACAAGTTCTCATTTTAAAAAGGGCCAGTTCACTCAAATTGCCAAAAGAAGAAAATAATCATGCTTCTGTGTGGATTTAAGATTTTTCTTTAATAATATCCTCAAGGATGTGTTAACAATACTAAAGTTTTATGCTGGGTAATGAGCATTAGTTTCAATTATTGCACCTTTGTTTATAGACAATCACGTTTTTTAACATGAGTTTGGTACAACAGATGGCACCAAATACCTAGACTGCTGACGCTCTTTCAAGCTGTGTTGTCATGCTAATGTTGTACAGTCTTTCCCATGTGACAACCAAGTATCTTCATTTTTCACACGTAGTTTTATGCACAAATGTGAAAAAAAATCTCAGGCTTTTATTTGCAAGAATGTTTGATGTGTTATGTTATTGTACTTTCTTTTCCCCCCATAGTTGTAAATCATATTTTAAGTAAATAGTGCAGCTTTTAGGCTGATGTACATTGTTTTACATTTAACACTTTTGTTCACTAAAACTGGACTGAAATTGATTTTCAGTTGTTAAATAGAATGATACCTATTCAGCCTATGGAGAATACTATCAAACTGATGAGTGTATTATCAGGTTTCTACAAAGTATTATCAGGTTTCTACTGATGGAGTTACTCTGCCATTAGTGGCTCACACAACAAAATGTAATTTAATGTAGCCCGGTAATAAAACGTTTCTTGGACTTCTCCGCTTCCATTTTTATGTACAAAGACTTGTACCTTTGCCTTCTGGCCTGCTCCGATATTTTCTATCACAGTTGCTCATCTTTTATACTGATGAGTCATCAGTTTAATGTCCATTCAAGCCTTGGAAAAACTCCAGAAAGTCACTTGATACTGTTTATTCAGATAATGAACTGCGCTTTTACTTCCCACTTCAGAACTGTATTGAATTAGTTTGACAGCAGCGAAGATCTCAGAATCTCGATCGATAAAAGTGAAACTATACCTGAACGGCTTGATGCCACTCGGGACAAAAATACAGTAGATCTTTTTTTTTTTTTTTTTTTAATTTGGGTGGAGTGGCCCTTTAAGGCAATAGAAGCAATCAATAGCTTGGGGCTTTATCTGCTATATTTTATCTGATATATTATCAAGCCAGGCCTTTAATTAAGCATATATGATGCCAAAAAGCAAGCTAATGCATTAATGAGAAGTACTTCTGCAAAGAACCTCCAAGCTATAGCCACTGAGAGATCTGTGACATCACCACAAAGCATCTGAAGGGATGGGTGAGGAGAACGGGTGGTGAGGGAAGGGCAGAGGGGACGATGGGGGTGGGGCGGTTAGTCAATTAAATGGAGGGAGGGAGGGAAGGCAGAGCTGCAGTGCTGTACATACCCCTGAGTCTACAGGCAGCTGAATTAGGCTCAGCTGGGCATGCAAGTCCTCCCGCTTGGTCACTTCCTATAGTGGAAGTGATCGGTGCAGCCCGACAGGAGAGGGAGGCGCGAATAGGAAAAGAGGCACAGAGGTGAGAGGTGGAATCACAGCAGTAGACAAGAGCAGAAGGAGAAAGTTAAAAGGAGGTTCAGCATGTTGTAACATTTGGACTCAACCATACAACAGAACACATCAAACTGCCCCGGATCACAGCGTGCAGTGCTGCACGTGCGCTTCAGCAACTTCACTTAGTTAAAAAACATGAAAAGTCAGAGAAGCGCAGCCATGTTTTACCCACCAGTCGATCCGTTGTAAGAATATCATCCAGAAGTGAGAATGATCTTGACATACAGTATGAATGTAATGACAGCGCAGAACAGCTATGCATTGTTTGGGACATATTGTGCTCAGCACGGGAGCGTTCCTCTGCAGCTGACGTGTCGAGTGTGTGCGAGTGCTTCGCTTTGAATTTGTGGATGTTTGGATATGTGTGTTTATTGTCACGTTGAAGGGTCTAATAAAAAGAAAGAATAACTTTTTGTCTCTTTTCTTTCCATGAAGAGAGAGTCGTGTGGTTTCACTCTCTGCAGCGGATATTGGATTCTGTCACATGGACACACTGTCACACCAGTGAGAGACTCAGTGAGTGAGAGGGATGGATCATAGGGGAGAACAGGAAGAAATAGAGGATGGAGCGGATGATGAGGAAGGAATTAAATCAAGAAAATAAAAGCAGGAAGAACTGACACCCCCACCCCTACCCCGCCTTTATGTCCACAGCAACATGGACATTAAAAGTATTACTTTGAGTGCATGGCTTCGCGTATGTGTGTCTTGGCTCCACATCTCTCCTGGCTTGGCTCACATCATTCAAGCACCCGTTACCTAGCAACCCTGACGCAGGGAAAGTTTGGACAACTAAAAATAAACTTCATGTTTGCAGAAAAGGATGTAAAGTTTGAAAAAGGAAAGGGAGATTTAACCTCTGTGATGATACAGGAGGACAGAGCGGGAGAACAGAACACGAGCTCATAGACCTTCAGGTTTCCACATTTGGTCATAGAGTGCATGTATGTATGTGCTTTATTTCTCTTTCCTCCCACAGCTATCAACAAAAGTAAAACACGAACAACAATAAGACACAAAGCAAACAAACAACAAAAACACTCAAGCTAAAATTTGAATTGTTCTCACTTTTTGTATGAGGAAATAACCTACGGAACGCACTGTACAAGAATAAAATGACGCACTAAAAACGGCCATTATGGGTTAAGTTTGGATGCCACTGGGAAAGCAGAAGCTAGTTAGTGTAGCTAATGTTAGCACTGTTTGCAACTAGCTGCTGAGTCACTAGCATTCCCTGCCCATTCAGTGCTTTGACTGACCCTCATTAACAGAAATAAGGGGTTTCTAGGTGGCATCAGCTGTCTCTTTTCACTCCAGTTGTGGTGATGGCAAATGACCAGATTGCCAAAACTCTCAGCAAATGGTTCCTCCTGTAACCTCAGCAGTCCGTACGTTACCTCGCGACTTGAATCATGAGTCAGGGTAACGTAGCGAGTAAAAAGAGTAACAAGTGCTCAACGGCTCGACGTCAACCCTCCGCCTGGTTATCCATCCTCTCAGACAAAGAGCCAAAGAGCATCAGAGATCAAAGCAGAGGTGTTGTCACCCCTTAAAGAAAGAGTTGGGGAGACACGAAGACAGCCAGAGACAGACTGAATACTCCTGTGATTTACTCTCTTCATCTCATCTCACCAACTATTCATTTCTCTCAGTCGCTTTATCCGTCCCAGATAAAGCCCCTGTACACTTCAAATGGACTGGCTGAAAAGTGAAGGGAGGTTGCTCAATGAGTTTCAACTCCTTTACTCCGTGTGGCTCTGAAAATGTTCACAGAAACTGTTTTCCCAGCTGCCTGTTTCCAAACAATCATGTCCATTAATCCACCTTCCTCTCTCTCTCTCTCTCTCTCTCTCTCTCTCTCTCTCTTTGCCGTCTTGGAGAAGAATCCCAAACAATTGTGCAGTGGTGGATAACATACTTGTACAATTGAATTGTATGATACACGGGAAAGACTGGGGTTGGGGTGGGGGGGTGGAGGGGGTGCCTGAAATTAAGGAATCCAAGCATGAGACTTGATGAAACAGGGGATGTGTGGGCTGATGCACAGTCTAGTCAAGCAGACATATTTTTCGTATGATGTACTTTATGGCATGACTGCATTGGCAAATGAGCAGAACAATAATGAGGATGACTGCTGAGATAGTGGGAAAGAGTGGGAGGAGAAGAGGCTGACAGTGAGATGAAGATGAAGAGGAGAGGAAAATGAAAAGCTGCAACTGCTGTGATCTCACGTCCTCACATAACCTGCTGCAGAGAGTGCATGGAAAAATATAGATTTAATACCTACAGCGTTCATGAATTCGTTATGTATGTGTGGGTGTGAACATCCACCCATTAGTGTTGTGTGTGCCTGCACTGAAAAATAGGCACCTCATTGAGTAATTTAGCCTCATATTTCAGTGTTAAAACACAATTTATTCTAAGAGCTAGCAGAGAATATATTGAAATTATATGTGTTAAGGCCTGGAAGTAAGTCAAATCAGTGTGTAAAATTGGAATAAGTCGACCTACATTTAAAGAAAGATAAACCCCAACTACCCGACCACCCAGAATGGCACATACGTGTCACATTCTTTCAGGAAAAAAACAGTTATTTGATGAATTTCAGACAAAACAGCTCAATAATTTAAACTCTATGGTTTTTGTATGCTACATATGCATGTGTGACCAGCAACATTATACCTCCGTCTGAAAACCCTCGACCAAGATTGCCACCAGCAAGTTGAAGAGGACGTAGTTTCCAAAGGTCATAAGTGCGATGAAGTACAGGGCAGCTACGGGAGAGGTGGAGGCCATGCCGTTATATAACACCTTGTTCCAGTCCTCCTGGGTTAGGATCTAGTGGAGAGAAGAGAAAGTATTCATGGTAAAAAGCACATCACTGTCGAGAAAATGTTGTATTAGTATTTGTTTGTCAATTGGACAGTGTTGTGCCTGTACAAGTACAAGTACACCTGTCAAGATTTGCATTCTCATAAGGTGCTTTACAGCGATAATGGTGGTAAAACTACCACTCAAAATACTTTTAAAAAATTGAAATGAGTCCTTGATTTCAGACCCAGGTAGATGAAAACAGGATTCTCATTTCTAGAAGATGACAACTGTTGCTGGCAGATTTTATCAGCCGTACTTGGTAGCTAATCAAGCTAACGCGAGTTAATTGAAAACACTGCTACTGGCTGACCTTTTAATGTTTCCATTTTAAGATGAGTTTGAACAGCTCAGTGAACAGCTCAGATAACGCTGGCTGGGGTAACTCAAGTTCAAATATCTCCAAATCCAACAAGCAAATAGCTAAAAGTTAGTGAGACATGCTAACATTACATCTGAACAGATAAACACACTGTTTCATCTATTTTTCACACTTATGCTTTTTTTGTTTTTGGCTTTTTAAAAAGGCAAAAAAAAAACCCCTCACATTTCAGTGGTTGTTCGTTAGAAGCTAAAAAAAAAACTTCAAATGCAATAAATTCTGTGCTCCACCAGTTTTTCATTTGAAACACGCAACACTAAAATGTAAAAGCTTTCATGACTATAGGTTGGATCAGTCAACTGTCTCTGTGTAACATCATGAGAGCAGACATGTCAGAACAATGTTCTGCACAGAGAGAGGTGCTGGCACATTACATCGTCCCTGATCAGATGTTTCACTGAATTATACATGGTTACTATATTAAGGGTAATAAATACCATACAGTGATTTATGCAGAGATAATGGGTGGATGGTTTGACCCCACAGCGGGCCTTAAAGTCACTAATCCAAGGTGACATGATGCAAGAGGGAAGAATTCACCTATGTAAGATAGTTGGAAACGGAAATTAGATGAGTAGAAGAAAATATGGGAATAGATGAAGGCCTAGCAGGGAAGAGGAATATTTGATTTGATATATTTTATTTATTCAGGAGCGTATTGTCTTATCAGCCTCTGAATGGGGATAGGTTCAGTCAGCACCAATGATGCAAGAAGATATTCCCCGAGGGCACTTCAGCGGGTACAGTTTGATCACACGGGAAGTTCGAGATGCCAGGTGGTGGATGAACTCGCATATCTTTAGGTCATCCTGTTGCTAAATTTTTTAACAACTCAACAGATTGTCAAGCTACAGCTAAACTGAGCATAGCACAGTAAAACGTGAATGTTTAACAGAGTTAGGAGAAGGGGAGACAGGGTTTCATGCTCACCTGGAAGACAGTCACTATGGCCCAGAGAAGAGAGTCAAAGTTCTTCCTGTCTGGCAGAGTGTCTTCATCCCTCTCCGACCCGAACTTACAACCAAATAGATGCATCCCGAGAATACTGACACAGGAAGGAGGGAAAACGAGGGATAAATGTTTGCCTCAGGCCAAACCCATTAGATACAGTACAAATAAATGGAAATTATTTGCTGTATAAGTATAGAAATATTCAATCAAAACTTTTATGACTAAAAAAAGTAGCAAAGGGAACAAAAACACCATGTGTTGGAGTCAGTGAGGTAATAAAACAGTCATTGGTTCATAAACACTTGGCTTGTGCCAGGTTAAGTTCAGCACCATGGAGAGCGTCACAAGCCATGGCAGTGACATACACCTTATGTATTTTTTTTATTTTAAAAAGCACTCAAAGGAAGATCACTGGCAGTGGAAACAGGAAATTGGTAAATAAACAGTTCTGTAAAATGCCAGGCTACCTGGTTTCCCCTGCTGCAGTTTCCATGCTAAGCTTTGCTAATCACCTCTGGCTCTAGTTCCATATTTACTGGACAGACATGGCAGTTGCATTGACCAATATCTATGTTACTAAGTCTAGGGTACTACTGTAGACTTGGTAGCATGGATAGCTTTTGCAGTTCAACATGTAAAAAAATGAGTTTGAGGAGAGATGGGGATGGAAATAAAGGAAACAAGAATAAAGAAAACTGTAGTGAGATTAGGAAACAGCCTCATGCTAACTCTTGCCAACTATACCACTTGTACACCACTATGTTTAGCAGTGATTAAAGTCTTTTCAACCAAATTACCAGCTAGCCTGCTAATAAGAAAGAAAGAAAGAAAGAAAGAAAGAAAGAAAGAAAGAAAGATGTACTATGAACCACTAGTCAGTCTGCACTACAGTCTGTCTTTTATTCAGAAACAGACACTGAAGCTCGACTGGAGCTCAGGGATCAATGAACAGGCCTCTGCTGTGTCAACTTGGCAACTCTTCACTCAAATCAAAGCCTGTTTATTATTGCTATTTACAAGGCCCTTGGAACTGTGTGTTCGTGTTTGTGTACATGTATGTGTGTGTATTGGACATACATGCTACCCTCACTGATATAAGTGGGATGGACAGATTAACAGAAACACCTGTCAATATAATGCAATACAATTCAACAGCATCGCAAATTACAGCGTCCAAAATGACTGATGATGATACAGACGACTGCTTTAAGTCATGCTGCTGCTGTTCTCCAACAATATGTCTGTCACTGGCGTGATAGATTTTTTAACTATTGTTTTCCTGTACTATTCTATTTGTCCCCATTTGTATTATGTACAAACTTTTTCTGTTTTGTTTTTTCAAAGCGTCATAAACATTGGCGATAACTTGTGAAAGTATTGTCTCCTCTTGGTACAGACGTGTGTGTGTGTGTGTGTGTGTGTGTGTGTGTGTGTGTGTGCAGAGAACCTCTATAGCTTTGATTTTGTTGGGCTCAGCCACACTGCTTAACCAGGCACAAGAAAAGGATTGCTGACAAAAAGAGGGAATCACTTAAGTCTTGTCATCCCATTGACTCATTCCTCCTGTCGTGTCTGTATTGATCCCTGCTTATCATGCAGAAGTCACAATGTATTGATCTATCAATTTACTTTCATTCCACACCTCTGTGCTTCTAGTTCCACCTACAGAATTTGAACTCTTCAGTTTAACTCTAACTTTTTCTATTTTTTTCCACACGTTCCTCCATTAACAACAAAAAATAGACAGTTCACACACTTTTTCATAAGACCGCCTACCTGAAGATGAAGATAAAGAGCATGAGCAGCATGCAGAAGGTGGCCACGTTGTCCATGGTCTTCATCAGCACCACCAGTTGCCTCTGCAGGGCTGGCATGAAACGCACCAGCTTCAGCACCCGCATCAGCCTGAATGTCCTCAGCACCGACAGTCCGCCACCCTGTTGACCCACTATCTCCCACACACTGAGAAGACACACGTATTCACAAGTGAGATTTGAAGAGGTTTTACAACCTTCATTATTAATGTTACAGATTGTAAAACCAAACGATGAGCTGGCAGACACTAAAATACTCGGAGTATTTATGTAGTCTCTGTGGTTTCATCAGACATCACACATTTCACATTGTCAATAATGACTTGTACAGCTTTAAATTTGAACAATAATAACAAAATTTGTGGCTTTTTAGCTTTTAAGATAACATCTCTCAATACTAATACTAACATGTCAAGCATTAAAGATTAAAACTGTACACTATCCGTAGTTCATCACGCAATGTAATGATAACAAATGACAAATATTTTAATAAATGGTGAATTTCCACAGGTTAACACAGTGAATTATTAAATATTGGCATTTAAGTATCATGGTTTTTGCTTTGTCCTGGGACAGATGTGGTGTGCAGATGTGGACTGCACTTCTATTCATACTACAACTGGGGATAAGTGGGATAGGAAATTTTTACTCAGGTACAAGTAAAATTACTTGTGTAAATATGTACTCGGATCATAGTCAGCGTCTCGCGCACCCCGAAGTCCTCCATTACTTGCTCTAAATCCAGCTTCTATGCTAGTTCTCAGCGCAAACTATAACTTTAAGTTAAGAAAATTAACCTCGGTTCTCTGAAACATGAGTGATGTGTCTCACTATGGGACACGGTCTCGGTCTAAAACCTCTTCTCGCTCCCGGAAGCAGCCTCTCGGACGGCAGGTGTAGCTAACGGGCTAGCAAAACAGTTCACACAGCGAGCTAACCGCTCGGTCGCCTACCCGGCGCTACCCGACTGTCACCAAACACCAGTTGCTGCAGCTAGCTACCATACTAGCTGCTCACCGCCTCTTGTTATTAACGGAGCTAACTCAACAGTCTAACATCGAAATTGCGGATCAGGAGGAAATTAACTTTGTTTGAGACCTGGCTCCGTCTCAGCAACAAACTCTCGCGAGACCTTGCAACATGGCTCTTTTCTCTCTGTCGGTTCTGGTTTCACTGCTGCAGCGCTGCCGACGTCGCTTTCCAACCGCATAAGTTTAGAGGGTCCTATAAGTGAATCCATGAATCAAAAGTTTAAACTGAAATAAAGTTTCTTTCTGCTATTTCTTTGCTTAATAATGCTATTGCTATTAATTATTATTATTATCATTTAACTGTTTTTGGAGGGAAAACAATTAGATCTTGTACTGGATTGATCAGATATTAAGCCAAAAGATAAAAATCGGCAAAATCAAGCGCAATTTCATACATAACATTTTTAGTGTTGTATTATATTGTTACGTTTTGACACGAACAAGCAATCACGACCACGCCCACTTAGGAAACAGGAAGTGAATTTAGCATTTAGAGTTAGCCAGACCCAGCATGCACCTGTTGTTCTCTCAACGTGGCAGGTGTGTTTGATTTGGGACACCTGGCGTGGTTGCCGGGTGGTGCATCAAATCAGCAGCTTCTTCTCTGCTGCAGCTGCTGATTTGACACTTCATTTTTTTATTTTTTTTTTTTTGCATTCTCTCACAGTTAATCATAACTTCATCATGTGACTTTTGTTTTTACTGAGTAACGATTTCGACTTTAAATGTAGCGAAGTAAAATATTTGAGTTAAGAAATACTTTAGTAGCCTACGAGTAAAGTTACCGATTTTTAAAAATACACCAAAAAAAGAACAAGTACATAAAAAAAACAGATTCTTACAGTAACGACAGTAAATGTAAAGTAATTTATTACTTCCACCACTGCACACACTAGAAAACTTTATTTTAAAACCCATAGAATTGAAAATTGAGCATAGGTTTCCTGCTTCGGTGAGATGTTCAGCTTTTACCACGCCATAATAGCAATAGTAAAACACTTTTAGGAAATGGAGAAGCCATTATCTTGGTAGTGTTCACCACAGCATTGCACTACCAGACTACAAACTGCAGCATCGCCCTGTTACAGTAATAGCTCTTCACTCTCTCTTGACTATTCACTACCCACATTGGAATGGTGATATCACATTGTTTTGTCAGGGCTGCGTTTGGGTACATTTTGTTGGATGGAAAGTTAATATGACTGTACCTTTATGCTCTGTAGTGGCTGATTTCCCCCAGGTTTCATTACATCACTACTGTGTGCTTTTCCTGTATAATAATGACCATGGGAATGTAAAGGGCCTCAGGTTATGTATTCCCAGTGGTAATATTTTAAAAACAGAAACAGAGAGCAGGGACAAAGGGATCCCTGTATCACAGGGGTAAGTTAGTTTGGCCTCGGGCCAACTTTTTTCTAATCCATAAGATTGGGGGGCCAGAACAAAGGCTGATTTAAGATATTGATAAAAATGCAACTGGAATTCACTTTGTTACTGTTCAGATATGTGGCGCTGTGGCCCACAGTCACAGATAGGGGGGGTAAAAAGATCATATTTTTGGGTAGAATCGCAATCCACGATCTTGCTCATCATCTGCATTCTGTTTCCACTCTGATTTTATTCTGAAAGGTCCTGACCGGAAGTTGTGGTTCCTATCTTTCCGCTGCTTTGACGCTTGTTTCAGTGTACACGTTTGACTGACTGATTTACTGAACTCCTCTTTTTTTTTTTTTCTTATCATACATCGTATATATACTCCATCGGAGGTTTGTCAAGCAAGCAATAGAACCTTTGGAACTTCCTTTCAGAACTTTTCAGAATAAAACTTTGTCGTGCTTTTATTTTCTAGGCAAAACAGCTAAAGTGGAAATGCTTCAGATGGAGATCTATTTTAGCAAAATTTAGCAGCCCAGTTATTATTGCTGGTGGGCCGCCAGTTGCCGACCACTGCTGTATCATTTCAGGGGTTTCTGAAAAATAAAAATCTTTGTTTAGAAAGCCCTGCTCTACAACTCACCTGATGACCACGATGATGCCATCGAAGATATTGTAGGGGTTCTTGATGTAGCCAAAGGGCCCGTAGACTAAAACCTTCAGCAGCATCTCCAGAGCGAAGAGGCTGGTGAACACGATGTTACTAATCTCCAATGCGTTGGTCAACTCGTCAGGCTGGTGACACAGACACAGAGAGGTTTGAAAAGGAGGAGATCGTTAATGTATCGCTGTAAGTGCATGCAATCTGCACTGACGATAAAACCTGTGAAGAAGCAAGATGTTCATATGACTACAGCGACAACACCTGCAGTGTCACACTTGCACAAAGAAATGTGTCAGTGACTAAATTCAATTAAAATCTGACAAATCTGCCTATGCACACACAACTACTTTTCTCACACATGTACGCCACACACACACACACACACACACACACACACAACCTTTATCTCGCACCAGGACACACACCACTCACAGTGCTGCGGCTGAATGTGCCTGGGATGTCTGCTCAAAGCTCATTAGAGAATTGGGCTGCCACTCACGTCTACATCAAACAACTGGTGTGTGTGTGACAGCATTTAAGCGTGGGTGTATGCGTGCCAGAAAAAAAAAAAAAAAGAGAGAGCGAGCAGACAAGAGAAAGAACCTGATCCAAAACATAAAAGGCGCGGCACATCCAAATACAGCACAGTATGTAAATCAGACGTCTACACCGCCGCGTAGCTGTAATCATTGGCGAGGAGAAAAGAGCCGATGGGGATGATGTTATGTGTCTGTGGACTGTGGAACACCCCAGACAGACTTCATGAGGCCTTTCATCTCGATGCAATAAACAGTTTACACAACTCAAACATGATGTCACACACACACAGATTACACTGACACGACACAGTGGATGGAAGGTGTTGAAGGCCTGATCTGTGTTTGCATGTTCTCCATCATAAATGTTGTAAGTGAATGTGTGCGTGTGTGTGTGTGTGTGTGTGTGCGTGTGTGTGTGTGTGTATAAATAGAGACGTCGTCCCTGCAGGAACATTATCCCCAGGCTGAACCAGGAGGTAATGTAACGTCATGTAAACACAGTGTGTGTCTTTAAGCCCGTCCTGGTGGGCTGCCACTAATCACTATACACAATGACTGTTTGAGCAGTGATTACCCAACACTAGGATGGATACACAGAGAAAGGAATACAGAGATTAACATCACCAGTTAAATAACAGAGCCTTGTGCTGCGTTATAGCACCAGGTAAACAACACTGACGGATATGAGTCGCTCATTATGAAATATCGTCACTGTTGGTGTTGTTTCTCTGTGGTTACAGCGTACCTGCTTTAAAGCAGTAAAAACTGAAATAGAATTTCAATTTTTGGAGAAATACAAGAGAATAGTTCTTGAAATTTGGTTGAAATGGGTCTTTCACAGTCCATGTGTGCCCAGAGCTAGTGTGTCAAAAGCAACCATCATCTACAGAAAACTTCAATAAGAGTGTTTGACAGTTTCTATCTGAGTTTGAGCGAGTCAACACTCACAAGTTGTTGCTTGGTATTAAGTCATTATTCCCATAGCACCTGCCTTTGGCTTTAGCCCCAAAGGAAAAGAGTCCAGCAACATCACAGCCTAATATTACACCATAACCCACAGCATGGACGATGTTAAACTGTAGACGACATGTAGAGAGTAGAGCACGACATCTTCCCCCTCCTCCCTCCTTGTTAAATAAAAAAGAATAATTTGCCCACATCCTGCAGAGCAGCTCCTGCCGGTGAACCCTGCTTCCTGAAAAACAAGCTTTTCTCTGGTTTTCGAATCACCTCTTTGTCATTGTCTGTGCCTCGTGTGTCTGTGTCTGCGTTCACAGACACAGACGAATCTGTTTGTTTGATCCCACGGCTTTAATGTGTACATTCATTTGAACACTGACACTGAAGCGCGGCGGCGGCAAATCCTTCATACGTGCACGCGCACATTGTGCGATTAAGAAAAGTTCAAAGGGTAAACAAATGCAGGGGCACTTAGATGTTTGTGTGTTCTTTCAGATGAATGCCCCACACACACACATACACACACCATAAATGCACATACAGGTGTACCCGAAAGTTACACTAATAAGCATGTGGACTCACACATCCAAAGGCCACACACATAAACCCACACAGCGAGCTCTACTCCCACACTCATTACCATGTATGCACACATACTGTATGCACAAAGCTCTGCACCTACTCACACTTACAGCCACACGTGTAGACACACACGTAGAGCTGTATAATACATACAGTTGATAAGCCAGAACAAGAAGTACAGTTTTTATGAGGTGAGACTTGGCCTGCAGACATCTGGCCTTGAGAGGTTCAGGTCATTATTTTTCCCCCACTGTTTCTGCTCTGCTATTGTTCCAGCTTGTATATTAGACATTCCTCAGACATCATGCAAGAGAATGAGACCATAAAAGCCTTTTTTTTTCACACATAGAAACGCACACAAGAACACACAAGAACATGCACACACACACGAGCTAGCATCACCAAAGACTTACAGCCATTAGTTTATCAAGACAGGAGAAATTTCTTAATTGAGTAATGACCACAGAGGTGTGCAGACAACCTAGAGAGAGATGAATGTGTCCACGTGTGCAAGTTTTTTAAGTGAGAAAGACGTCCTTGCTTTTCTAATTGCTTCCTCCCATGGCTGTGTCCTGGGTGCAGAGGCTGCAGGCGCATTAGGGGGGTGAGGAGTGTTGGATGAGGAATACGTGTAATCTGGTCAGCGTCAAATGTAATGTCACCTAATCTGAAGTGATCTAATCTAAACGGGATGCTGCGCTGCGTTCCACTCCAGACTGTCAATGATGCAGTACCACGTCTGGTATGTGTATGTGTGTGTGTGTGTGTGTGTGTGTGTGTGTGTGTGTGTGTGTGTGTGTGTGTGTGTGGGTGGGCGTTTGTTAGTTTAATCAAGTGGTTTGCTTAGGCATGTCACAAAGGAGGAAATTTCAACATGAAATGGAGAATGATACACTCCCTGTTATGGCTGGTTGGTTGGTCCTGATTTAATAACAATTATGAGGCCGATTTGTCTCAGACGACTGAAGGCGTTTTCACACCTCCAGCTGGTTTGCTCTGGTCCGATTCAGTTGATGACTTTCTTGTACTTGTACTCTCTTGTACCCGAGACCTTGGGGCACCCTGTGGGGAGATACTGGGGGAAGGGCGCATGTCCTTGTCATGGCACATTAAAGGAACGCTCGAGCTCGCTGAGATACCATTCAAATCAAGAGAGCACTCTGCCGACATGCCCATATTGAAGAATACAGATAGCAGGATGTGGTGGTCCATCATGTCAAAGGCGGCTGATAGGTCCGGCATGATAAGGACAGAGGACTGAGCTGCAGCTCCGGCTGCCCTTAGGGCCTCCGTCACAGTCAACAGAGCGGTTTCACTGGAGTGGCTGTTTTTAAAGCCCGACTGATTTGGATCGAGGAGGGATTTCCAGGAGGAATTTAAGGAAGAACTACTCATGAGGCTCCACCGAGCAGCCAGTTGGTTTAGCTTAGCACAAAGACTGGACACAGAGGGAAACAGCTAGCCTGGCTAACCCAGGGTGCCAGGAAATAGTCCGGCCCATGTAAGACAGCAAATTCACATTTTCACATTTTGTTTTTTCTTGTACAGATTAAAGAAACAAGGTATAATGTGTGAATGTAATGTGAGCTTTAAATTTCAATGCAAAAACAATAAACAAAGCATTTGCCATATAATGTTATGTTATACATGCTAAACTAAGCTAATCCTGACATTAGAGTGGTATTGATCTTCTCTAACTCTCCTCCAGAAATCAAATAAACATATTTCCTCACATATCAAACTATCCCTTTAAATCTGGTGTTCCACAGGATCAGCTTTAGGGCCTTTGTTGTTTATAACTTACATATATGATCTGCCTAATGTTCATAAATTGGAAGATGATATTTCATTTGCAGACGACAGTATTATCTTTTATTGTTGCAAAAATCTTCAACAGAATCTAATTAAACTTTTACTAAATGTCAAGAAAACTCATTTCATGTCATGTGGACCTAACTCTGATAGAACAATGAAAATGTATATTTAGATCATTTGCTTTTTGAGAAAGCCATGTCAACATGATTCCTACGGGTAATAATAGATAGAAGTCGAAACAGAAACCACATGTTGACATGATTTCATCTTAAATAGGATAAAAAAGAAGATAACTGATTACAAGAACCATATGCATTTCCTTTTCAGAACTTCTGCCAACTATCAACAAAGTGCAGATGTTTCTGTTTATATGTATTATTTCAAACATACTCTGCCGCCGCTGTCTTTAATGATTCTTTTAGCATATTTAGCACCACCTCCCAAACTGGAAACAGCCGTCAGCTTAAACCTGGATTTTCAAAAACCTCAAACGTCAAATACAGAATTTCTAATTTAGAAATATTATAATGTGGAATTCAATCCTCAATCCTTTTGCTTTTAAAGAATATGTCATTCCTCATTGCCTGCAGTTAGTATGTTGTTATTTTGAATATGCATCTCTAACAGTGCTTTCCAATACAGCAAATGTTGAAAGCAGCGCTTACAAGAACAAAAATAAAATGGTCGACTCAGAGCAGGACCTGAAAGGAGACCTTGCTAAATACAGGCAGCAAGTTATTTGACATGTCACTGAACCAGGAAATAACTGGATCTAACATTTGATCACTTCATTGATTCTCCCCTTTTGATTTCATGGCCTTAAGGGCTGGAAGAGCCCTCCCTCTATAAACCAGGATTAGGAGCTGTTGTTTCGCTGTTTACGTCTCACCATTGCACAAATTAGAAAAACACTTTCCTTAGCCCCGTCTTGGAGGGCGGCCAGTGTCTTCAGATGCTAGCTCTACATTCCTCGAGCAGGGCAGGATAAAAGCTGAATAAATATTGTCTCTGGTTGAAGCAAGAGGCAGAGCGAAAGGGTCTTTCCACTGTCTCTCTTGGTTTGGCACCAGGAGAAGCAAATGTGTGTGTGTGTGTGTGTGTGTGTGTGTGTGTGTGTGTGTGTGTGTGTGAGAACAATACAGCATGAGAATGCACCAAGAGGCCTTCAATAAACACACTGACTATAGTACATTAAATTAAAAGTCAGAACTTTAAACCAATGTTAATGTCTGTCC